CACAATCATAACTATGTAAATATTAGTATTAACCCTACCACTACCTGCATTAGTACAGTAATGCCCTGTGATTATATGCTCTATGATATCACCCATGATATATGAATTTGGATATAAAATGTTTGCTGACTAGCTTCTGTCTCCAAAGTAGGCTGACCTCGGATATTCAGTTACTTTGGATTAACTCAACATTATATTGTATGCAATTAAATTTCTGATCCTACTTAGTATTATGGCAGGATTTCTCTGTTGTGGTTTTAATTAGGAAGATGAGGGGAAGAGGATGAGTGTGTGTAAGTATGTATGTGTGTTGTGGCACTTTGGTATAAGAGGCCTGTATTATAGAAAGATATCAGACAATAACTACATCTAAAAGAAATCAAGAACAAGCAGAATAATAAGTTATCTGAAATATGGAAGTAAATACTTAATATTTAAAGAAAAGGGGGGCCCTGCCTGGTTCACTTGGTAGATCATGCGACTCTTAATCTCAGGGTGGTGAGTCTGAGCCCCACAGTGAGTGTGGAGCCTACTTAAAATTATGATAAAATAAAACAAAACATGGAGGTAAAAACAAAAAAATGCATGTGCAATAAGGAAAAGAAGATAAAACAGAATAGTGGGACAAAGAATGATCAGGGCTAGGTTAGCATAAGCAGTGAGGGAAGGCCTCGCTACTGAGAAGACATTCATTTTCACGATGCAAAGAACCAACGACAGGAAAACTGTAGAAGAGAGGTCCAGGCACAAGGAATAGAAGATAAAAATGCTCTGAGATAAGAAGCTTGGTGTGTCCCAGCAGCTGAAAGAAAGTAGGGTTGTTACAGCTGAAAGAACAGGCAGAAGTGTCAGGGGAGAAAAGGTCAAAGAAGTGGGCAGGAATCATACAATAATTATACGGGAAACGGACTACGAACTTCTGGTTTGGATGGTGTACCACAGTTGGCTTATATTAGCTCAGTGGAACCAAAATGTAAATTTTCAAGAATTTTGTAAGGTGGTTTTTAAACACAGTGATTACTAAAAATTATTTAAGCTCATAATCAAATAAAATAAAGGTAACAAATACTCAAAATTTAACACCTACTAATTATTTTACTATTTTAGGGGATCATAATACACCACCTTAAAATATGTCAGTTTGGCACAAGGATTGTTTTCAGCTAAAAGCAATTTAGAAAGAACAAATGCAGGAAAAGTTTTCTACCTCCCCATTTGCCTAAAGGTGGGGCACAAATTTCCCTTTCTGAAGGTGTTTTGTCTCTCCTTTACTGCACCAACAGGAGAAAAGTATTATCACCAGAGATAAAAAGTCAGCACTGAGATGGATGTTTACAAACAAACTTTAATAAAATAACCCTTACCTTTACTAATTTCCCTATAAATTTACCTTCCCACAATTTACCACCCTTTATTAAAGTGGTATATAAAACCCTGGGCCTAAACTCCTCTTTGGGTTTTTAATTTTTTTTATATATTTATTTATTTTGAAAGAGAGTGTGAGTGAACAAGCAGGGGAGGGGGTGTGCCAGAGGCAGAGAGAGGAGGAGAGAAAATCTCAAGCAGGACCCCTGTGAGCCCAACGTGGACTTGATGGATCTCACGATGCTGAGACCATGACCTGAGCTGAAATCAAGAGACGCTGTATCAACTGAGCCACCCAGGTGCCCCTGGGTTTTTAATTCCTTTTCTGTGAGACCCCATGTGCATGTAAAACTGAAGTATTATAAGCAAATAAAATTTGTTTACCTCTTCTCTGGTTAATTAGTCTTTTGTCAGTTTAATTTGCGGGTCCTAATTACAAAACCTAGGATAGTAAAAGTTTCTTCCTTCCCTACACTACATTTTACTACGATTTCTTGAAGTTTTTCATATTCACTGCAGTGGCACTGCTGATAACTGTGGCTGCAGTCTCTGTTGTAAGGCTGTCCTGTATACGGCAGGATGTTTAGCAGAATCCCTGGACTCTGTCCACTAGATGCCAATAGCACAGCTGTGACAACCAAAAATGGCCCCCGACATTGCCAAATGTCCCCTGGGGAGCAAAATCACCTGTGGTTGAGAACTACTGGCCTACATGGCTACCTACAGATATAGGTCTGGTGGAAATGATAGATCATGGTGCACTAGGGGACGTTTCTTCCCAATACCTGGGGTCATTTTGGTATCATGAAATTCGGCACGGCCAGGGTATTTTCATCACAAAAACTGACAAACACTACAAATGCTGTTTTGCCAGTTGTCTAGACTGAAGAAAGCGGTGGTGAAAATGGTAGAGGACACTTCATTCATAAATGTGCCGTGGGTCACCACTGCATTATGGATAGTGCAAAATCCTGACACAGTATCTTCAACAGTATATTCAACCTTACTGATTCAGAAACGAGTCCCTCACATCACTGGCCAGTGACGGTACCCCGCATATTCCAAGAACGTGCTCAGTTCTGTCAAAGGTACACGGAGGGTCAAGTAAATTGACAATAAAGAACAAGCTTTGGCCAGATAAAGTCGCTGGTAAGTGCTTTTAAGTACTGTTTACAGCGGAGTAGCCAAGAAGAAAGCCCGGTATAGGTTAAGGAGGTTAAGGAGGTGGCAAAGTCGGGACAGTACAGTAACATCTGGTTAGAAGCAGAGATACAGAGCGGCCGGCGAGCAGGCATGGACTCCAGGGGTGTTCTTTTTTAAATATGAGAGACATTAAAGCATATTAAGATGTTGTTAGGTATGATCCCGTAGTGAGGGAGAAATTAAAGGTGCCTGAGAGGCCTTAATTGAAGAGTGGACGTCTTTTGAGTAGGTTTACGAGAACACAGTCCAGAGAAGAGAGCAGGGAGGGACAGTTACTTAGACGAACAGCAACACGGGTTTCACAGGGTTATAATGAGGCTCTAAATTAACCAACGTGAAAACTTCACTTGTAAGACACTAAAAAGCACCACTGAACCACACCGCTCATGTAACGGAGGAATTTACTACATCCAGGTTCCACCTGCAGATTCAGAAATGGAAGACTTTCTATCTCAAATTGACAGTAATTTTTATTTTAATAGATTAAGACTCCAATGACCTTATCTTCATGAGAAAAAGCCCCCAAGGCCAGTCTTTGAATTCTCAGTACCACTTACTTTAAAAGCTGGGAAAGAGTATTTTAAGCTAATTTGCTGGGATCAGAACCTACACTTCCTCCTTTGTGTTAGTGAACCCAGCAAAGTGTTTCGTGACTTTTAAAAAAAAAAATCAGTTCTGTCATTTCGCTCTTCCTTTTTTCCTTGTAGTCCTTTATCCTGAGGGCGGAGGAGGGCAAACAACCACTAACGTACTGCTTGAAAGAACGTTTTCCCTTTTCTAGCTCCAAACAACGCAATGAAACGACAGGAAACAGTGTCAGGGGTCGAACTGGGAAAAAAAAAGTCCAGAAAAAAAAAAAATATATATATATATATGGTGGGTTAACAAGTTATTTTGCCCTTGGCCTCAAGGGGGAGAAACCAGGTCTCTAGGGGGTGCGAAGAGCTAGGGCCGGGAGGTGGCAGAACGAGCAGGGAGGGCGTCCAGCCACAGCAACGGGGTCAGAGGGGCTGGAGGCCGGCGGGGGTGGGAGGGGGCGACTTCAGGGACACCGTACGTTTTTAAGGGGTGGGCTGGGGAGCGGAACTCAAGGGCAGGGGGCCTTTAGGGCTCTGGAGAAGGGTAGGCTCAGACCAGGCGCCACAAAGTCGGGCGGAACTGCTGTGGTACTGACGAGAGGGAGGGGACACCGTTCCCTTCACCTGTCAATCGCCGCGCTCCCGAGCTCCGCGGGACTCCTCGGTTACACAGCAGACGGAAATGACGCGCTCGACTTCCGTTCTCAACTCCTCGAGGCCCCGCCCTAGTACCGCCCCTTGGCCCCACCCCTTGATACCGCCCCTTGGCCCCGCCCCTTAATACCGCCCCTTGGCCCCGCCCCCTAGTACCGCCCCTTGGCCCCGCCCTTTCCTCCATCCGGACGTCACCGTCTCCAGGGGGATCCAAAACAAAAAAAGTGATAGTCACACCTGTGAGCTCTCTCTGCGATCGTTAATGGCTTTGAGGCAAAGGATTTTGAAAGGGAAACCAAAGGAAATTTCTGCGAATTGGGGCTAAACTTACTGCAAAGTCTGGTCACTTCCACCAAGGGATTTAAAGATGTGGGAGAAATACACAAAATCTTTCATATTTAAGTATTTTATTCATTTGTGAATCAGAAAACGGATCCTTTTATCGATTTGGCAGCTAGTGCTCAGGATCAATGAATAAGTGACAGGTGATTGTAGTCTAATGCTATTTCTAAAGTTAAGCTCTTTAGCTGGTGAAGCTTAAACCACTTTTTTTTTTAATTGAGGTATAATTGACACATACCATACATTACTTTCAGGTGTACAACATAATGATTTAGGACTTATTTATATTGCTAAATGATCCCTACAATAAGTCTAGTTAACATTTTTCACCGTACGTAGTTACAGCTATACCAGCATAATGGCGACCTGAACCAGAGAAGACACTGCACTTCTTGTATTTTTGCCTGAAATAAGAGAAAATAATGGTGTCGAGCCCAAATTTCTTTCTCCCTAATATTAGATTTATACCTACTAGGGGCTGAGTGGCAGTGATAGTAGTTTTGGTTCATTTATTCAGGAAGACACAATAAAATTAAAATTAGACCAGTGTAGCTCAGTTCACTTTAAACAGAAATACCAGGGCTATAGGTGGTTACAATATTTTTTCTCTTTCTTTAAAGATTTATTTGTTTAATTATTTGAGAGAAAGAGAGCACCAGTGCAAGCAGGGGGAGGGGCAGAGGGAGAGAGAAAATCTCAAGGCTCCCCACTAAGCTTGGAGCCCACTTGGGGCTCAATTTCAGGATCCTGAGCTCATGACCTAAGCTGAAACCAAGAGTTGAGACTCAATCCATTGAGTCATCCAGGTCCCCTGCTGGTTACAGTCTTTCTTAAAAACAGAAATTATCTTTCTCAAAATTTTATTTAGAAAATTTACTTTATTTAAAAAGTATATATAGTATGTCCCATGATATAAAATTCTAGAGAGTAGATTTAAAAAAGCATACTGGAAAATATAAATATCCATTTTCTTATGTATATCTTTTGTGCACTTAGAGTCTTTTCCTAGGTTTACATTTTTCTTTATTTTACAATCTGATTCTTACTTGTAGTAAAAACAAATATCATAGGCAGGTATACAGCAAAAAGTAATTCCCTTCTCTCCATCTCTTTCTCAGATATTGGTAAAATCCTTCCAAACTTTCAAGCACACAAATATATTTTTGTTTTTTACATTCATGGTTTCACATTATACATGTTGTTCTCTTAGTTTTTTCACTGAATACTGTAATGGAAATCTTTCATGATAGTACATATAGAGCTACTTAAAAAAAAACCAGTTGTATTGCAGTCCTTTATATATCAATAACTATTTAGCCAGTTCCCTCATGAAAACTATTTAAGGTGCTTCCAATATTGTACTAATAAAAGCAATACAGCAATGAACATGCTGGCAGCTTATTTAGATAAAAGCACTTATTGTATTTACCTGCATATCTTTAAACCCCGCTCTTCCTTTTAAAAGTCAGATTTCTTAAATGAGAAGTGAAGTATTAAAATCGACTAATGGAATATGTAGATACTGTGTGAGTTCCAAGGGGAAAAAATCAGGGTTTTAGCAAAACAATTTTATTAAGTTATACTCGTGTCAACAAACCAGAAAGCCGTGTAAAACTAATTTTTTTTAAAGATTATGACTGAGCTGGGCAGATGGAAAATTATCTAGATTGACTGCTCACTCCCTGTGGAATTTTTTGAGGACTCCACTTAATTTCTTAAAACCGTCCTTTTCCTGTTCCGTGCTCAGAACTATGTGGTGTAGCTCAGTTCACTTTAAACTATCAGGCTTGTTTGGCAGCAGGTGGTGGGCATTTTAAAAATTTAAGATGTTTCTAACAAGATGCCATCAGCCACAAGGAAGAACCTGGGTTGGTGAGCAGGGTGGTGGGAAGGAGGGCAAATTTTCTTTCAGTAATTTGTTTTGACAAGCCCCAAACTCCATGTACAATAAATGCAGGACATGGCTTCATGCATATGGTCTTAGTACAGCTGGCCTTTATTTTATACTCGTGACCTTGTACTTTTGAACAGTTGGTGGGTGTTCCCCTTGAATACGTGGTTTTGATGATACTGTTCTATGCTCTCGTCTAGTTATGCAATTCTGTGTTCTTCTTGACCTCATAAAAGGGTATGACGACTATAAAGTGGTGACACTGTTTTTCAGATTAAGTAAATATTTCAATTAGGGGAGTAAATATTTTTAGAACTTGGAGTGTAGCTAGCTTTTGCTTTGGGAGTGTGTTCCTTAGTGGAGTGGATCTTGGATTGGTGGTTTTACAAGGAGTGTGTAATGGATTTCTGAGCTATAAGTCTTAAGTCTTGACCCTGTCCAAAAAAGCAAAGGAAATTTCCAAAGTTTTTCTTGCAGCAATGCACTGAAACAGAGGAGAGGTGCAGTTAGGATGCTTGCCTTTCTTATCAGCTTACTGGTGAATTCCCAAGGTACCAGGCTTTCTACTGCTTCTGGCACCTGTTTTCAAGTGTCCCTTTTAAGGATTCAAAAAAGTAGTAGAGAGCCCCACCTGACTATTGTTATCTTCCATCTATTCAATATAGATAATGGGTGGTACCCGCAGAATGTTCTCATCTACTAATAATTGTGTTGTCCTCGATGGGTGTGCTACCCTGATAGATTGGGAATTTCTAGTTTACGACATAATTTCTCCTTAATTTTGTCTCAGGCCTTGATAAAACTTAGCTAAAGACATATGAGTGAGCTTTAAAAAATGTGGCCTCCACAGTCTCCAAGCTACCTTCAACAAGGGAGCCGTGCTCTTCTTCCTTAATTATCCTTATCAGACCTTCCAAGAGGAGGTTTGCTATTACGGAATGTCCAAAGCAGCTTGTAGGAGGAGAAGTTATTCAATAAGAGGGGAGGAAACTGCACCAACATTTTTTCTTCATAATTGGAAGAGGGAGAGGGAAAGTGAACAAACTAGGAAATATGGTGGAAATCATTTCACAGAGAATGATTTCTATTCTGGCAAAGCCTCTCTGTTCACAGTGACCCGCAAGTTTTGTTTCGAGAAACTGTGATGTTGATGATGGAGGTTTTTACACAACAGAAAATTATATTCAAAGAGACCTGTAACACTTGCTCTCATCTTGCTCTGCCTGTCCACGTGAGTCTCCTCGACTGCGTTCACCGCAGCCCGGCCTCTGTCTGAAGGCTTGCCTTCAACCCGTCGCTGGCGCTTGCAGGAGTGTTGATGGGAGCTGACTTAAAGCTCTTCTCTGGAAGGTCTTTCCCGGAGGCACTGGCACGGGGACGCGTTATCATCTGGCTGAGGAACGAGCTCCATCCCATCACGTATTTTGGGTTTGCTGGACTGGCGCTCCGCGTATTTCTGAAATACATGTTGGAAGGCAACTGAAAGATGAGTCCACACTTCATTCCACTGGATCCTCCCTACCCCACCCAACGCCAGTGTTCCTAGCTGCTGTCTATCTTGAGATGAAAACCAAAGGTCTGGTTTATTGGGTCCTGAAGCTGCATTTGAACTTCAGGGGTCCAGGCACTAAGTGCGATATTTTGAAATCTAACACAGAACCCGAATCCACAATCTGAGGTGTACGTAGGAAGCCTCTAGGAAAGGGATGTTAAGCCAAGGGTCCCTACTTGAAACAGCCGCACCTCTTGGCATTTATCCTCCCCTCATTAATGAATAATTACATTTGTTGAACACTCAAATCAACCAAGAGATAATAAGCATCTCAAAAATAAAGCTGATGGTGGGGCGCCTGGGTGGCTCAGTGGGCTAAGCCTCTGCCTTCAGCTCAGGTCATGATCCCAGGATTCTGGGATCGAGCCCCGCATCGGGCTCTCTGCTCCGCAGGGAGCCTGCCTCCACCTCTCTCTCTCTGCCTGCCTCTCTGCCTACTTGTGATCTCTGTCAAATAAATAAATAAAATCTTAAAAAAAAAAATAAAGCTGAGGGTCTCACACACTCCTCCCTTCAAGCTCATAGTCACATAGATTTTGTCAATGGTGACAGACCTGTGTAATGTCCTCTAACTTTAATCATGGACTGAAACATTGCTATAAATTAGACTTTTGATTCAGTGGTTTCATATACATTTAGCTGTAGATTCTTGGTGCTGGGCCAAACCCAACAAAATAACTGACATTAGCACAAGAACCTAATGAACATTTTAGAGGGAGAAACTCCTACTATTAATATTATAGATAGACTAGCAGAGGGTATACAACTCATTCAAGGGAAAGGCTGCTTTTAGTAAACGGTGTAATTTATCATTTTAATTTTTCTATAAGAGAATGATATCCACAGACATCTGAAGAAATGTACCTCTTTTTTTCCTGTCCACAGAAAAATAAGTTTAGGTTAAAAACAAAAGCATTCTTTGTTTTTTTCTTTTCTTCCTGGCTAGAACATCACCAATTCTTAGATTCCCAATAAACATTTGTACTTCAGTAATTAGGCCTGAGGTGTTACAACCATTATAAATACATTTCTTTTTTTTTTTTTTCTACAGCAAGCTAAATACTTGCTGTCCATCCTGTACTGTGATAGCAAAAGCATGAATCTCAAGGTGTAAGAAGAACCAAGAGGCAGGCTTTTTGAGCAGAGAGATGTTCATGATCTCTCGTCCAACCCCCTTATTTTCTAGATAAGGAAAGATGTTCTCTGAGGTTCAGAAAATACCTAAACTAGAAATTCCATAGGGCATCTAATTAAAGATAGCAATGCCCAGCTAAGAGGCGCTTTTAATCTATATTCGTAAGGGCGCTAAGCATTGTTTTTCATAGTAGTGAGTGGAGCTATGAATATGGAGAACCATGAAAGGCCTTAGCACACTATTCCCATCTTTCCTCGGGCTGGGCTGGTGCTCAGCTTCCCCGGAGATCCACCAGCTGATGCTCTGAACCCTTTCAGGACGTGTGGTCCTCAGGCCCAGTATGGCTGTGAGGACACCTGAACCACACGCCGGGCTGTGGGGACGAACCCGGAGTACTCTGTAATAGTAGCAGAAGAGCCGGTGTGGCTGCAGCAGCTCCCTCGCGGCCAGCTGCCCTTCTTTTGCAATCTTCCTGGCTTCTCCATCATTTTCCTGAAAGGGTTAAACGCACATACACAATAAAAGAAAAATACTCCTGTGAACCTCCCCACCCCCCAAAGGAGGCTACCGTTGAGTATGAAGCAGGACAGAGGTCGGGTTGAATGTGACCAGCATGGGGACAGGGGACACGAGGAAAACAACTTCAGAGCGAGACTCTGAGAAATCGACAAGAAATTGACGTTTCTAGCCCCCATGTTACACCTAAGTGGTCACACATGTTCGAACCCTGGTCCACAGGACCCCCCCCCCACCGCCGCCAAATGCACACTAGACATGCAGTCTTCTCTCTTGTGACTACCCCTCATACTATCCTGGCTACCCAAGAAATTTAGGGCTCATTCCCCATCCCCTGCAATCCCATAGCCTCTCTGCTTGATATTAAAATACAATCTGGAATAAAATGAATCTCGTTGCATGTTATAACGTCTCTTAAAAACTTCATTTTGATACATAGAGCCCAGAAGTTGTCATAAAACAGTACCTATGAAGGCCTGTCTTGTTGCTATATTCATAAATTCAGTCATTAGAACCCACAGGTTTTCCTTCAGTATCAGGAACGGTCACTGTTCCTAATATACTTTTTGAAAATAGCTGGTATTCTACCACATTGCCCATTAAAAAAGCCACTGGCAAGCAATCCTGACTCTTTATAAAGGGTCACAAGAATGATTCTGCCTCAGGCACCCAGTTAGTTGCATACCTGAATATCACTTCTCAGAAACTTAGAAATAGAATGAAGTCCTACCAACAGAAGGGGGAATTTTTATTGTTTCGTAATAAAACATGACAGCTTTGTCATATGTTTCCTTAAAAAAAAAAAGAATTCTTATTTTATGGGAAATCTGTGATTCTTGGGATGTTGTGTATACCATGCATTCATTGTACCTTTTTCCTGACTGGGGAAAAGAAAAGGGTATTACAATTGCCTTCAATGTCTTCTTGTGCATCGAGTACTCTAGTCCTGGGATTTCCAATCTGTCACTTATATTTAGTGTGTTTTTGCTTGTGCGTATATACATGAATATTGAGTCCTTCAGAAAAACCCATATTCTACAGAACACTAGACTTCAAGTCTTCTAAAAATCCTCCAAAATGTTGGCTAAAGGGTATTAAAGTGACTCTGATGTTGATTTTTTAGATATTTCATGGGAACAAAAATTTCAGAAAATAACATTTCTTTTGTGAAATTATGTCAAGTGAAATTTGGTCATGATGGAACTCATGTAAATAACCCTGGTTAAGTCTGTTATTGCCTTAAGAAATTAAAATTGCAGAAAACGTACCTTGGCCCACTTAACTTTATCTAGTAAATCACTAAGATTTCTTTTAATTGGAACATAATGTTTCCAAGGCGTTAGTGCCATATAGAAATGTTCGTAATACGTCGAGTCCTGCTTCAAAACCAAGCTGTCACCCAACATGAGGTATGGATATCTGTAAGCCGCCACGGTCCCATCCACATTCACTTGATATTTGTACTAAAAGATTAAAACAAACATAAACAAAGGAAAAAATAGCTATTTGCTTCACTTTTGCTTGTCATCAATGCTATAATACTAAATATAAAGGAATTATTTTCCACGTTCCAACTTCAATGTTTAAAAGTGGGGTTTTTTTTAAGATTTTATTTATTTATTTGGCAGAGAGAGAGATCACAAGTAGGCAGAGAGGGGGAAGCAGGCTCCCCACTGAGCAGAGAGCCTGAAACAGGGCTCTAACCCAGGATCCAGGGTTCACTTCTAGAGTTGAGGAGACAGAAACTTGGAGACATTTAGGGATTCGTGTGATGCTAGCAACACAAGATGTACCCCGTTTGCCCATTTGCTGGGTTAATAAGCCTTGCTTTACATTTCAAAATCACTTTTCACGGGAATTAAGCCTCACTGGAGCATAGCCATGTGAAGCAAGTATTACCATAAGCTCTTTCCTCTTTCCTGTTTTGTAAATGAGAAAATCATGTGTTCAGATAAATTTATAAACCTCTATTCCCTAAGTTTGTCAAATCAAATGTTCTTTTTATTATAACCACACTGAAACGAACAGGAAATACTCGCAGGTTTGGTCATTAATTTTTTTGAGTAATTGGTACCAAAGAGTTTTCTAGCCAGTCAGATTTTGTTACATTGTTCACATCCCTATCCTCACGACAATACTTGAGGAACAAGGCAGGCATCCTGCATGTTTAGGGGTGTGAAGAGATGATGGTCCCACAGTCAGTGACAGAGGAAGGACCACAAACAGGATGTGAACCCCAATTCCAGCTCCAATTTTACTTCTATGGAATTTACACTCTCTCTGTTTACAAAAGCCTTTAAGATCACTTCATATAAAAGGTATTTATATTCCCAGTTTATGAAAACAAATATAAACAAGAGAAAAATGCCCCCAAACCCCCTGGTTAATCTCTGCACTATATTTTGAGTATTAAATATAGTTCTGGCCTTTTGGTAGACAGAATTCACAAAAACAAAAAAACAAAAAGGAAATTACAATGAGTTTTGTAATTCCCTAAGCTTGGAAGGGAGAAAGTAAGAAAGTGTGCTCCAGCTCACAAGACTGGAGAAACGGGCCCACCCAATGATTCTGTAGACTTATCGCAAGTTTATCACTTCCTACCCATACAGGAAGACGTAAATGCGTACCTTAAAGAAATCAAAGAAACCTGTCAATTTAGCTTTTCCAAGCTCCTTTTCTTTCTCTTGGAAAAAGAAGTATCCTGTAATTCCTGCATCTAGGAGCTCTGGATTTTCCTTGGAGAGCTGTACCAACTGGAGCCTCTCTTCTCGGCTATCTCTACCTCTGAAGAAAGCTTTCTCTGTTTTGTTGATCCAGGAAGGCCCTAGAAGTTTGAAGCCATTAAAAAAAAAATGTGATATGAATTTGACATTTAAAAAAACAGTAAGCATAATCATCTGTAATCTACCATTGTCACTTAAGCTATTAATGCTCTTTGATCATCAACCCATCTTCTAAAATAGGGTGCTATTTTCAAAAAAATATGGGATCAAGTAACTTGCCTGACATATTTTCCAGTTCAGAATTTTAAAAACAGTCCTTTTATGTGCTGTATCACAGAAAAGCATGCTCCAATTTCACCTATTTTTTTTAGATTTTATTTATTTATAAATAAACTTTATTTATTTATTTTTTTTTACAGAGAAAGAGAAAGCACAAGAAGGGTAAGCAGCAGGCAGAGGGAGAGGGATAAGAAGACTCCGTGCTGAGCAGGGTGGGGCACGATCCCAAGACCCTGAGATCATGACCGAGCTGAAGGCAGATGCTTAACCGACTGAGCCACCAGATGTCCTTAATTTCTACCCGTGAGAGCTCACTCAAATATTGGACAGTCTGCTGTATGACATTAGGAGATATCCAAAATAACAGTGGGTCAAGCTCAAAGCAAAAGACATTCAATGACTTGGACCACTCACAAGGCACTACCTTCTTCCATCCTTCATGCTTCACAATAAAAAACGAGCTCGGATTTGTTCTTCGACTGGGTGACTGGGTGACCGGAACAAACTATGTAACTAAGTAACATCCACATCTTCAATCCCTGGTTGTTCAGAATTTTGAGCACATTGTTTCTGATTTATTAGACTTTGTCTACTAAGCTGTGAAATAAAAACACATATATAGCCCAACTCTGTGTGTGTGTGTGTGTGTGTGTGTGTGTGTGAATTTCTTTCCTGGGAGGGAAGTATTCTAGGAGAATTAATTTAAGTCTATTTCTATCATTCTAAAGAGAGATTATTAGTTAACACCTATTACTATTTGAAGGGATAAATCATAAAACAGAAACTGGAGTGGGGGGGTCACTCTTTCTAATACTTAACACACTTCTCAGAATTCACTGTTCCCAAATAAAAAGTCAGTTTCATTTCATGTTATCTTAAAGTAGTTTACGAAGAGTCTCCGGTCTTACCTACTAAACGAGTCTACCAAACCACAAACGCAACAGAGGCTGTAAAGAGAGGCAGGGTTCATTCTACTCAGGGCGTCTGGTTTAGTTCGAGAGTGTGTTGTGCCCTAAGGGTAAGGCCGTCAAAGGGGAGAAGGGAGGAATTAGATTTTGAAGGATGAAGCAAGGCAGAAAGAGGAAAGGGAAAACTCCTTCCTAGGTGCTGGAGGTAGTAATACCCTAATTATACTGTTACCACAATTCTCTCACGTCTGCTTATCATTTTATATTTTTCAAAATGCTCCCTTCACCCAGCAATGTAATGGAATTGGAGTCAGTATTAAGTGACAATCCTGCCAAATACATTATTTCCAAATGGTATTTACAAGTGACCAGCTCAGAGAGGAGACTCAGTTACAGCAGGTTTGGACATGACTAGCCCAAGCCACATATCTAATTTTTGGATTAGAAGAATCCTACACTGCTCTTTTTTCTTTGTTAGAAAATAAGAACAATGGTTATTTAGATATATACCTTTATTCTCTCCGACTGAACATTCCCTTCTTGCCTCTGTTTTTCCCTCAAGAATAAAGTTTAATTTACCTGTATTTCCCTGAATAGAGAGGAGATCATTGGTGACACCCCTCATTGCTTCGAGCGTGGAGTGGGTGATGTCATACGTTGGAAGGATAATGTCCCGTGAATCCAGGGAGCCGCACCATGAAATAATAGGTAAAGGGCCTGGGGTTTCATTGACCTGCCGATGCTCCAGAGGCCAATCTCCAAGATTAATATAAAATTCTATATCGGGGAGAAGAACCTAAATAAACAAAAGAAGAAACATCAGTGCCGGGAAGACCTAAGTTTTAGGTACTAAATGCTTGCGTTCTTTGGCTTCTTAAAACATTCCCGATAAAAGTGAATATGTGAAAACAGCAGAATAGAGAAGAATGCCTCTCAGTCATCAGCAGTAGCAGAAAATCGTGGGTGAGGATGGTTCATGGCATATTCATTTAACCAGGAGTAAGCTCCCACTGTTCAGAGGTGGCATTTAAAATTGCTTAGGGGCGACTGGGTGGCTCAGTGGGTTAAAGCCTCTGCCTTAGGCTCAGGTCATGGTCCCAGGGTCCTGGGATCGAGCCCCACATCGGGCTCTCTACTCAGCGGGGAGCCTGCTTCCTCCTCCCTCTCTCTGCCTGCCTCTCTGCCTACTTGTGATCTCTGTCAAATAAATAAATAAAATCTTAAAAAAAACGATAAAATAAAATTGCTTAGTACTGGGGCTCCTGGCTGGCTGTTGGTTAAGTGTCTGCCTTCAGCTTGGGTCATGATCCTGGGGTCCTAGGACTGAGCCCCAAATTGGGCTCCCTCTCTCCCTTCTCTCTGCCCCTCCCCCTGCTTGTGTTTTTTTTTTCTCTCTCTCTCTCTCTCTGTCAAATAAATAAAATCTTTTGAAAAAATTGCTTAGTATTGGGGTGCCCAGCTGGCTCAGTTGTTGGAGTGTCCATCTCTTGATGTTGGAGCATCCAACTCTTGATATGGTTTCGAGCCCTATGTTGGGCATAGAGATTACTTAATACATTTTTTTAAAAAATTATCAAAATTACTTAGTATTATAGAAGTGGACATGGTATGGAAAGAAAGTGGCTTCAAGAACTCTCCCTGCCAGCTGCCTGAGAACTGATAAGGTTAGATCCAAGCCCTTGTTTTCCTCCACTCTCAAACCTCTGCATCACATCTACCTTTGTTTCTGGACTCTGCCACTTCATGTCCATCTCCATGATCAATGCCTTATGTGAGGCCCTTCTCATCTCTTGCCTGGACTGTTGCAGTAGCTTGCTCACTAGGTGTTCTGATACTAGGCTCTCCCCAATCTGATCTGATTTTACCTTGCTGCCAAAATTCTTAAAACCGAAATCAATGTTACCATCAAGGTCAACAGAACCTAAAGCCTGCAGGACAAGCTCTAAACTCTGGGGCCAGAAAGCTAGGCCGTGTTATCTTGCTCCACCTGAGCATGGGCCAATAAGCTTTCGGCTACTCTCTGAAAATGCCACCCACTCTCATAGGTCATTCCCTTCTCACTTGGAATATTCTTCTCCTACTTATTCACTTGGCAGTCTCCTTTCTCGTCCTTTGAACCCAGACCGAATGTCACCTCCTTGATGGCTCACTCTCCTCAGGCAGTTTCACCCCGGGGACCGGCTCTTCTTACAGGCCTATCATGCTGAGGTGCCACTATTTGTTTCACATCCTACTCTAACTTCCAAATGACAAAAACAAGTCCCACTAGCATAGGCCACTCTAAGTCCAGAGATCAGTCTCATTTATCTTGGATTTCTTCTCAGCCACTGGGCAAAGAACCTAGAACAAGAGGGAAGGGCAGGGGACTTGATGATTCACGCTCTTGCTTATCTACTCTCATTTGTCAGCTCATTAATAAGTCTCAAAAAAAAGTGACCTCGAGGCTCAACATGTCTGGGAGTCCACAGAAACCTTGGGAGTGCTCCGTAGGAAACTACTTGCCTCAGATGGGGCCTCAAGCCACTTAATTCAAGGAAAGAAAGATCCATAAAGGGGGGAGAATTTATGAACACTCAGGTGGTGGACACATTAGATGCACATTTCCAAGCCTGGAATCCATTTCCATCCTTTGCCATTGTTGCTCTAAGAATCCCAAAGTTACAATGAAATAAGTAAACTCCAGCTCACCCCTGAACAATGCAGGGGTTAGAGGTGCTGACACCGCATAGTCTAAAATTTGTGTATAAATTTGACTCCCCCAAAACTTAACAACTAGTAGCCTACTATTGACTAGAAGCCTTACCAATAACATAAGAATTGATTAACACATCTTTTATGTTATGTGTATTATATACTGTGTTCTCATAATATAATCAGCTAGAGAAAAGAAACTGTTAATTCAGAAAATCATAAGGAAGAGAAATACTATTTATGGTACTGTCATATATTTTTAAAAAAATATGTCCATGTATAAGTACACTCATGCAGTTCAAACCCGTGTGGTTTAAGGGTCAACTTTGTATTTTTTTCAGAACCAATGAATTCATTCCCGTACCTTTCTTGCCAGTGACAGCAAAATCTCATCCGAGAACATTTTGAAGTCTGTGTACTTCCCTAAAGATCTCCGGTAGATGCGGTTATTGAGAATCGTGTAGTGAACAATGGCACCCCTCTCATCCCCAAACCTTTTTGGAACTTCATTTAGCATCTGCTGGAGATTGATGCTGGGGAAGGAAGCAAAATCCTTTGCAATCTGTGGTTCCTTGGTTGGACAAGAAAGAGTTTTCTGCCAGGCCTGAGGATCCCCTTCTGGACACTCACAGTACTCGTGGTACACCGGTCCTAGGGAAGATAAAACACGTGTAATGCCATGCTCCATTAACAAACCCCTCCGCACAGAGGGTTGTTTCTGCCCCTGATAGGAACATGGGATGACTTCTTGGTGTGGTCTAAGGTTCTCCAGACGGGAATAATCTGCCCTAAACAAATCCATGGTGAAAGTACTTGTGTCAGAGTCCTGTGCTTCTACTTTGCATCCCCCAATCATTCCTCTAGTATACTGTATGCTCTCTTCCGATATAACCCACTCTCAGCCAACGAGCTGATAAATTCAGTGAGTCATAAATACCTGGTGGACATAAAACAACTTACCTTTTCACAAGGAAAAAGAGAATGTATTACTTTTCAGGCATTATTACAGAGTAGGTGAGGTTTTTTTTGTAGACAAGATGGAGGCCTCCTCCCTTGAATCTCTAAAATCACCTCCATCAGCACATCTCAAAGAAGAAATATGTAACCCAGGGGTATCTGGCCATGTAATTTTAATGTACGTAGCCATAAGTATAAAACTTCTTTGAGGACTCATTTTAGAAGGAATTTATACCAATTTTATATCTTTTTTTTTTTTTAAAGATTTTATTTATTTATTTGACAGAGATCACAGTAGGCAGAGAGGCAGGCAAAGAGAGAGAGAGAGAGAGGAGGAAGCAGGCTCCCTGCCAAGCAGAGAGCCCGATGCGGGACTCGATCCCAGGACCCTGAGATCATGACCCGAGCCGAAGGCAGAGGCCTAACCCACTGAGCCACCCAGGCGCCCCACCAATTTTATATCTTACTTCAAGATGTATTTAATATAAAAATATAAAGATTAATGCAATTTTATAAATATAAACACTTCAAAGAAATTATTTATGTTTCTTGAGGATTTCTATTGGACCAAGATGAGTAATATGGACCAATTTACCCTTCGACTTGAAACTACCAAAAAAAGCGACAAAATATATGAAATGGGTTTTGAGCCACCGGATATGAGGCAGTGAAAGACACTGAGTCTGAGAGACGGGAAACAGATGAAGTGATCCTTATAGTTCATAAGCTTACTGCCTTAGGGAGTTTCCAGGTTATGGAGACAGGGGGAGAAATGTAGCCAGATCCAGAAAAACTCACTGGATTGAGGGGATAGAGCCAGGTGTCCAGGGAGAACAAGTAAGCTGACATTTGCAGGACACATTCCCTGAAAGGACACAGATAGAAAACTCCAGAGATCTGTAAAAGGTTCCCCCTCAAGTATTTAGGGTTTCTGAAGAGGGAATATAAGGGAGGAAACTATCCAAGGCAAGGAAAGAACCATCAAGAACGACTGAAGGCAACATTACCCACTGGTCATACAGGGTTGGGAATAGTACCTGTTCATACCAGGCAGACTGGGAAGCATCCTAATTCCTGGGACTCAGGGTAGAGGAGGCAGAGAAGTATTCCCTGAGTGGTGGGGAATAACTAGCCCCAGACTAAACATGGTTCGGGTCTTACCTAATGAATTGTAAAAGCAAAATTTGATAGTTTCAAATTATCTCCAAGTAACTTCACTACATTCCAGAAAAAAAGCTCAAGGAGATGAGAAAGAAACAAGAGATGAAACATACACTGGATATAATTAAAGACAAAGGGGACACTGCAGAAGGAAAGTTAGGGAACTTAATGATAGAAAATACACAAAATGAAATGGAGGGAAAAAAAGAATTTTAAAAATGAAAAGAGCATCAGTGAGCTGTGGGCTAATCTCAAGCCTGATATAGGGGTCACTGGAATTGTGAGAGGAACTCTGGAGTAGAACAGAAAAAAATATTGATGATATAATGGCCAAAATTTTTCTGGATTTAATGAAAACTATAATCCCAAAGATCTAGGAAGCTCCACAAACCCGAGCACAAGAAACATGAAGGCAACTACATCAAAGCATGTACAATCAGATTGTTCAAACTGACTTAGAGAGAAAACCTTTAGCAGCGCAGAGGAACAAAGTTTTGGAGGTCAGCAGATATACTGTTGGAAACAATGCAAGTAGGAGGACAGTAGAACAACATCTTTAAAGTACTAAAAGGAGACAAAACCAATCCTGTTAATCTACAATTCTGTATTTAGTAAAAATGTCTTTAAAAAAATGAAAGCAAAATACAGACTCTTTCAGATACTTAAAAGCTGGGAGAACTCATCACCAGTATTCTTGCACTAGAAGAAATGATGATAGGTATCCTTGAACAGAAGGCAAATGGTACTAGACAGAAATGTAGATCTATATAAAAGAATGAAGAGTGCCAGATGTATTATCTGCCTGGGTAAGTACACAAGATATTCAAATTTCTTTAGTTTTCTTTCCTGCAAAATTCCAAGTTAAATTGAGCTCCAGGAGGGGTGCCTGGCCGGTTTAGACAGTTCAGCATGTGACTCTTGATCTTGGGGTAGCAAGTTCAAGCCCCATGTCAGGTGCAGAACTATGTACAGTTGAGCTCCAGGAGGTATGTATACATGTTCACTCTGTTGTACGTGAGTTCAAGGTCATCCTAAACCATTTGGAAAGGCATAGAGTCTACACATATAAGGCTAGCTCTGGATTGTGTGATATAAGCACTTACCTTTCAAAATATAAGGAGACTGAGCCACATGCTCATCACCGTAAAGGACCTCTATCTTCAGCCCTTCACTGACAGTTTCATACATCCTGTATCGCATCAAAAATGTCCCATCATTCCTGTCCAAAGGTTTTGGGACGTGAATCCGGACTAATTCTTTAGGTGAAAGAGATTTGATTACTACTTTGAATAGTGTTTGACCTGAAAGAAAAAAGAAAAAAATATATATATGTAAGTATGTATGTAGCTACTACTTCATGGTTATTTTGTTTTGCCAATTATTGGATAGGTGTCTGTACTCCAAAGTTAATTTTTTCTGTACTATCAAAATAATAACAAAATAATTTTAGTTTGGAAGGTCCTTGAGACCAGGAACCATGTCTGGGTTGTGTCTTGAAACCAAAGATCTGAGTCAACATTTGATTCATTAGTCTTTCAGTAAAGATTTACTGAATGAACAAGATCAGTTCTTTAGAAAAGCAAGGAAGAGATGACCTTTTTGCCTCTTTGCTCTTTTCGCCTTTGGGTAGGTTTAAATCAGCCCAGATGGTTAAAAATCCAAAAACTCTTAGAATGACAGAGCTCCAAGGCAATCCACCTTTCTCCTGTAAAATATATACCAGCTCTCTTCGTAAACCATTTTAATACCTAATAACCCTCATTTCTGAGGAAATCTCCCTTTGGTTAACCTGAATTTTGAGTAATACTTCTAAGCCTATTTCCCTAAGTAGAGAGAGATTATAGCTAGTTATTAGACCGTGCCCAAATATCAGACAGACAGACAGACACACACACACACACACACATTTCACACACTTTGTAAATACTAGAGTTTACTTCTCTAAGCTTGTTTCCTCAGGTTGGATTGGAAGTTATACTAGAAGAATCTAACACCCTTTTGAACTCCAAAATTCTGTGGGTTTTCTGGAAATTTCAGGGTAAACAATACCTGCTTAGTAAACCCTCCCTTCTCTTTCGGTAGTATATGAGCTGACTGACTGAGGCTTAGAGACAATACTGTTGTGATTAATACTATCACTGGGATCCAGGAATAAATGTGATATCCCTCTTTCCAGAATCCAGTGGATATATCTGCCCTCAGCACGGATCTGATCCTCAAGACCTCTGAGAACAAAGATCAGTTGATGTCCTAACCACAGTTCATCACCATATCAAAGGCAAATATTTTATAAAAAGTGGTGAATCCTCTGAAATTCACAGTCCTGGCAAAAAATAGTGGTGATGGAAGGAGTCTTTGATCTCACATCTATCATATTATCAAACTAAGCATATTTAATATATATTTTTTAAATTACTGAAAAAAGTTTCTTTCTCTCACCCTTAGTTTCTAAATCTTGTGAGTGAAGCTTGTACTCTCTTTTGACCTTCAAGCATTGTAATTTTTTCTTGTGGGTGAGGAGAGGTGTTCCGTGGTCTCTTTAATTTTGTAATCGTAATATAGTGTCTGACAACTTGCTATTAAAAAATACATTTAGACATCCTTGAAATAAGTGTGATAAAATTATGAAAGATATCTGCTAAAATCAATGAATTGTAATAAATATAGGGTATGTTGTAAGAAAAAGTTAATAATGTAAAATTATTGAAAATATTAGCCATTTACCTGAAATGCTTACATGAAATACATTGGTTATTGCTTTGTGTTATTTCTCACTTGATTTTAGAAAACACATATACAGACTGCAAATCAGGAAGGCAGAGCCTGGGGACCTGGAGGATATACCTATAATTTTCTCCCTAAAGTGGAACCAGTACAGAAAAGTTAAGTGTCGGGACGCCTGGGTGGCTCAGTTGGTTAAGCAGCTGCCTTCGGCTCAGGTCATGATCCCAGCGTCCTGGGATCGAGTCCCACATCGGGCTCCTTGCTCGGCGGGGAGCCTGCTTCTCCCTCTGCCTCTGCCTGCCATTCTGTCTGCCTGTGCTCGCTCTCTCTCCCTCTCTCTCTGACAAATAAATAAAATCTTAAAAAAAAAAAAAAAAAAAAAACATTTAAAAAAAAAAAAAAAAGAAAAGTTAAGTGTCTTGGTCAAATAGTCCTGTTCTCCATAAACTTGTGATTGTAAATAAACAAAACAGATATAAGACAAACATATTAATGATTCTGTGATCATCTTGGAATGAAATGGATTTACAGAAAAAACTGGTTCCAAAATGCTTCATTATTATTTTTTTTAAAGATTTTATTATTTGACAGAGAGAGATCACAAGCAGGCAGAGGCAGGCGGGGGGGGGGGGTGGAGGGAAGCAGGCTCCCCGCTGAGCAGAGAGCCTGACGCAGGGCTTGATCCCAGGACCCCAAGACCATAACCTGAGCGGAAGGCAGAGGGTTAACCCACTGAGCCACCCAGGCACCCCAAAATGCTTCATTATTTTTAAATTCAAAGTACTGGACTAGATCTGTATTGTCTATTCCAGTTATAAAATTTTGTTTCTTAAATAGCATTTAAGAGCTACATTTCAAAATAAATGTATAAAGCTAAAAAAAAACAAAATTAAAATAGAGTCATTGGAAATACATATTTTAAATGTCCAGTTATTTTTATAGGACTCTCATGCCTGTGTCATTGTTGGCATGAAATTAATGTTAAAATCAACACAAAATAGCAATTGTGATGACTGAAATAGAAATAAGCAATTTTAACCTCATAAAAGAGAAACTGAGGAGAGTGTGATTTGAAAATGCTTCAAACGGAAGGAATGTGAATTCTCATTTGCCCCAAAGGCTAACATAATGGAATATACTTGCAGTTCAACTTGAATTTTTCTACTTCAATTCAAACCTCTTTAGGAGAGAAAGCTAATGGAATGAGAAAGCAAAGACTACCTAGATCGAGGAGCTTAGCAATATCAAAGTCTTGCATCATTAGAATCAGAACTTTTGAAGACTTTAGCAGTGATTATGGGCCAGTCCTGAGCTTGATATTTTCATTTACATTTTCTACCTTATTTGTTTCCTACAAAAATTTGTAACATAGGCATTGTCACCCCCATTTTACAGATCAGGAAACCAAGACTCCAAGAAGTGATGTAACTTGCCCAAGGTCAACTACATATGAGTAACAGCCAATATTTGAACACAGCTTGAGTCCTTCTTCAAAGCCCATGCCGCAGCCACCTTGTCACACTGTATCACATTAGCCTTTTGGTTTGCAGAAGTCAGAGTTGGAGAAATAACCTCTGGCACCATTGGTACCAGAGAGTCATTGCCTTCCCGGCTGTTTAGGAAGACTATGAAGGCCCTGCAACTGTAACAAGTGTCAACCCCACACGGCCAAGGGAACTTACCGAGAACTGATGCACGACAACCATATTACGGGAGGTTTCATTAAATGGAAAGAGGATGAGTGTCTACTCTTGGCTCTGACACTTAATGGCTGTGGGGCCACAGGCAAAACATTTTAGCTTCTCAGAGCCTCAGTGTCTGAGGTGTAAAGTGAAGAGAGTAATATCCAGCCTTCCTACTTAACAGGACAATTAAGGATGACAAATTAAACAGGGCACAGTTTAAAACACTGCAGTGCTACAAAAGTAGGAAGTACGATTATTTTATGCAGATTATCACTACTGATGAAGGTAAAGGAGGACTGAGTAGAGAATGAGTATCTGTATCCAGCCATCGTGACGGATTCCAACCACCCTCCCTCCATCCCTTCTTTTCTTTTCTCCGTGGTATTTACAGAGCACCTCTGTCATGCATGATGTCTCATGTTGACAATATAACAGTATCAGTAGGTTTTGCTTAAACATTCCTAATAGAAGGAAATACTACATTTAAGTCAGAAGGGAGTAAAAACAAAGGTCAAGATAGCTTCTTTCCCCTATATCCAAGGTCATGGACTGTCTAATTTCTGTCTTTGGACTCCAGTTTGAGATCCCCTGCTTTAGACCATTCAAGGTCACATGCTTATAATCCAGGAACCTGGAGATACGCAGCATAATGATAGTCAGATAAATGTGACACTGTTAAATGGGAGTGATAATTATCAAGGGAATCTGGGTTAAGCCATGTAAGAAGGTCTATGTCTTGAAAAAAAAAAAAAAAAAAAGACCTTTTTTTTCCCCCATTTAGTTCTTGGAGAAGGAAAAGCTTTAGGACCTGCAAGTGAATGATGGCAGAAAATGTACAATACCTAGTTGCATGAGCTTTTCAAAACTACAGAGTAGCCTTTTAATGGAAGCTAAAAATTGAGTAGCATAAGAGGAAATAGGGAGATTCCAAAGGTATGAAATTGAGGTTGTCTGAAAAGATTTGCTGAAAGTCTTTTGTTTTTTATGACTTCTTTCCCTGACCATAAAAACATTAAGATTACTGTCGGGGGAAATTTTCTTGGGAAAAAAGAAGAGTGAGACAAAAATCTTTATTCTCATGTTAGAACTACTGAGAACACTAATGAGAGGTATAGTTTCATCTATTTATTATAAAATTATTATAAAATTAAAGTGCAACTATATATTTTCTTTCCTGTTTAGTCCATCCATAACCTAGTTTAAGCTTTATTAAATATTTTAAAACATTACTTTAAAAGTAAAACTTAAAACATATAACAAAAGTGATCATCTTAACCATTTTTAACTGTACAGTTCTGTAGTGTTAAGTAAATTCACATTTTCAGGCAACAAATCTCTAAACCTTTTTCACTTTGCAAACCTGAAACTCTACACCTATTCAACAATTTCCTATTTCTCTCCTCCACTGGCCCCTGGCAACCACCATTCCACTTTGTCTATGAATTTAACTACTTTAGATACCTCATATAAGTGGAACCTAAAATGTTAACTTTTAATGGGCTGTCAATATGCCATCCCATGAAAGTACCACACTTGATTTAGCAATGACCTCAGAGTTGGCTAGTTAAATTTGCTGTAATAAATGACGACAATGTGGCAAGAATTTCTTGCATAGGAATCTTTGACCATGTTCTGATCATTTTCTCAGGTCAGATACCTAGAAATCAGATTACCAGAAATAAACAGCACCGGCATTGTTTGCAAAGGATATATTTTTTTTTAAATTACATTTTCTCACTGTTAAAACTTATTTTTTGTACATTAGGTTTGTAAATATTTAAGACACTTGGTACATTTGGAAAACTGCTTTCCCGTAACGTTTTAGGAATTTGCCCTCCCACCAGCAGAGGATGAAGGTCACTGTCTGAGAGTATCTTCATGCCTTCTTGACAGCTTTGAGTACTGCCACTTAAAAAAAACTTTGCTGATATTTTTTGATTAAGGAATAGAATTTTATTTGAATGTCTAGCTCTTTCATTAATAGTAAGATTAGCAGCATGTCACTTTGGATCATGTCACTTTCTTTTTTCCTGTATAAATTAATTTTTCCTTTGTTCTCCCTTTTCTTTCTAAAGCACCCCCCATTATAACATTATAAAATTAATTTTACGAAAGAAAGAAAACTATAAAGGAGAAAATACACCCCATAGTGGAAGACTTTGAATCTGGGCTTAAGAATTTTTTATTCTGGTCCTTAGGGCCACGGAAAGCCTTTCTAAAAGTGAAAAAAGTTTAGTCATAGTTTCCTGCGTGCGGTGGAAAAGGCGCTGGGCTATTCTGATTGTCTCTTGATAAAACAGGGTGCGGGCTGGCTGGACATCAAGGAGACAGAAATGAGCAGATCCCGACCGGCAACAACTTGAACCCAGCAGGACGAGCTGGAAGAAGGTGCGAAGGCAAGACGAGCAGGGGAACGTGGGAGGACGCCCGGACACAAGGGCTTCAAGGACAAGACCCACCCTAGGGAGGGGAACAGCCGACGGCCGCGGGGTTTCACTCGTGCCCGCCCTGGGCCTCCGAGAACGCAAGGCCCCCAGCTCCGGCGTGCGCCCGGCGGAAGGTCCGGCTGTGCCAAACCCCAGGCCTCAGCCCAGTAATGCGGCGCCGGGTCTGGGGCTCGATGACTCCGCGGGCGGCGCTCCCTGCGTGCTGGCACAGCGCGGGAAGACGGCCTCGGGCCGTGACACGCCGGCCGGCATCGGCGCCCCGGCCGCCGCGGAAGGGCGCGCGGAGTTGGTTCGTCCGTTCGTTCGACAGACTTCGGCCGCGACGCCCTCCCCGCAGCGCGTCCCGGGAGGCGGGGCAGGGGAGGTGGCCAGAGCCGAGTCAGGGCGACGCTCGCTCGGGGAGGGACGCCAGGCGGGCGGCGGGCGGACTCCCGAGGGGCGCGGGCGCGGCGGGGACCCGGACGCGCGGGGAGCGGAGGGGGTGGGGCGCGGAGGCCGGCGGCTCGACGCTATACCTGGGGGCGAACGAGTGAGGTTCTGGCCCTCCGAGTTCACGGCCTGCAGGTAGAAGTAGCGGACCGGCAGCACGACGCCCGCCCGCAGCCCGGGCCCCCACACCAGGCTCCGCGGCGCGCTCACCGGCGCCTCGGGGGCCCCCGCGGCCACAAGCAGCGCGAGCGGCAGCGGCAGCAGCGCGGCCCGCGGGAGGCGGCGCATGGTGGCGGGGCCCGGCGTCCGGCTCGGCGGCGGCGGGGAGGGGCCGGGCCCGGGGGGCGGGCTCCGGGGGCGGCTGCTGCAGCCCCGCGGGCCCGCCCCGACGCTCTCCGGGCCCCAGCGCCGGCGCCCGGCTGGGGGACAGCGGAGGGCGCGTCGGGCCGCGGGGACCCGGCGGGGAGCGCGGCCCCGGGGCCCGCTCGGTGAGGCCGAGGACGCGAGCCTGCGTCCTCCGCCCCGAGACCTCGCCGGGCTCGGCCCGCACCCCCGGCGGCCGGAGCTGGTGAGCCGTTTGGAGGAAACCGCCGTGAAGGGACACGAACACGAGGGGGATGGCCGTGGGGCGAGCGAAAGGGCCCCGCAGCGAAGAACGTCGCGTCCTTCGGGAAGTGCCTTCAGCCCAGGAATCTCACTGGGTCCACGTGGTGCAGAGCCACTGTCACGGCACCTCTGACAGCTCGCGCCCACGCCGGCACCCGCCGAATTGGCTCTTCTCTGTGGAGCGCCGCTCCCTTCTTCCCAGTCTCCCTCCCCTACATTCTGCTTTTCCCAGTGCGTTTTCGGAGCGCACACCAGCTTGGGCTCAAACCTCAGGGGAGCAGTTAGGCACTGCGGTATCAGGGTGGACAGAGGACTTGCCCTGAGCCTGGCAGGCGACCTTTCCCCTCTGTCAGGAGGCTCTGGTCCCCTGAGTCAACGAGGTGTGACTGGTCTTGGTCACTCCTCAGAAGCTGGAGGTGGGGTCCAGGAAGAGACTGGCAGGAGCCCTAACGCACTGGCAGCCGTGTCTGCCTTCCTCCTCTCACCCCTTGATCTGCATTTGCTAAATATTTTTTCTTCTTTTATCGGCTTATGGTTCCAATCTGTTCAAAGAAAATAAAGCATTCTGCTCAGGCTGGGTGAGCCAGGGCGGCCCCAAAGTACAGAATGGACACTGGGACTCTGCACCCGCTTGACAGAGCTCAATCCAGAAATGCCAGAATCAGGCACCTCCTTTCATCTCCTGCCTTTAATTGGGTTACTCAGCATTCTTGCTCTGACCACTTTTTACTGGGGCAAATTCCTCCCCAGTTCTGTTGGCCTATTTTGGTAATACTGAGCAGAGGTTGTAGGCAGTGTTCTTTGTATTTTGGAAAGAGTTCCAGAAACTGGTGGTTAACCACTGGTAAATTGTAGGGCTAACGCATAGCATTACTTAGTATTTCATTGATAATTTTTAGTGTGTGGGGCTGTCTGCATGCTTTCAGTGGGAAGCATTGCTGTGCTCTAGCTATCACTTTGAAAAATTGTGTAGAACACATTTTATTCATATTCTTCCAAAATCAAACTTTAAAAATTTCCCAGAGATAATCTGAGGGTTGGCTGGTACAGGATGATAGGAAAACACGGCCTAATATATTACATCCTATTTGCAATAACCCCAGTATTTTTTGAGAACACATCAAGGAAGCCACATAATTGAATCTGAACCCTTGTTTGGCAGTACCGAGTCTGTACCAAACGGTTTTCTTCCTCATTGCCCTCCGTATCTTTAAAATCATATCTCTTTGGATCAACCAGTGCCTTGACTAGATTCTTCATCCTAAATCGAATTTCAAATACATATTCAATGCCTGCTATGTTTTAGACATTATCCTCGGACTTTAAAACTCTTGTTTTAAAGGAAGACAAAGGCTGTGTGGTGGGTGCTAAAATATGAGGGTGGAGAACTCTGCAGATCGGGATTGTTGCCTCTTACAAGCTAACAGGTTAGCCTGTTTGAAGGACATGCTGTCGAAAGACACACAACTCCTGGGTCAGAGACAAAGGACTTTGTTATTCATTGTCAGAGTTTCCTGTTGGTTTGTGTTGGATTCCCCATGTCCCCTGTTATGGGCAGAATTGTGTTTCTCCATAATTCATATGTGGAGGCACTAAGCTCTGTGACCTCAGAATGTGTATTTGGAGATAGGGCCTTTAAAGAGATGATGAAGTGAGAGCAGGCTGTTAGGATGGGCCTCCATCCAATCTAACTGCTGTCCTTAGAAGAAGAGGAAATTAGTAAATACAGAGAGACACCAGGAATGCTTGGGCACAGAATAAAGACCCAGGGAGGGCGTGGTGAAAGGGCAGTCCTCTGTAGGAGGAGAAACCAAACCTGTCAACATCTTGATCTGGGACTTCTACCTTCCAGAACTGTGCGAGAATGAATTCTGTTGTTTAAGCCCCCCAGTTTGTGGTATTTTGTAATGGTGGCTCCAGCAGACATATATAGCCCGCAAGTCTGGTGGGGACAATGCGAAAGTCCATCACAGATGTGTGAAGTGTGTTGCATTATAAGAGAAATGCACCAGATTCAGGGGATTACTGATTTCACAGCAAGGGGAATCAATTCTGCTCTTGGCCAGAGGGGAGATGTGATCTCATCCTTCAAGGTTGCTGGCTACAAATACAGGCCTAGGAAATGGCCTGTGTGGGGCACCTGGCTGGCTCACGCAGTGGAGCTTGGCACTCTTGATCTCGGGTTTGTAAACTCAAGCCCCATGTTGTATAGAGATTACTTGATAAAATCTTCAATTAAAAGGGGGGGGCGTGCGCCTGGGTGGCTCAGTAGGTTAAAGCCTCTGCCTTTGGCTGAGGTCATGATTCCAGGGTCCTAGGATCGAGCCCTGCATCAGGCTGTCTCCTTAGCAGGGAGCCTGCTTCCCCCCTTTCTCTCTACCTGCCTCTCTGCCTATTTGTGATCTCTCTCTGTCAAATAAATAGATAAAATCTTTTAAAAAAATTTTTTTAAAAAGGGAAAGAAATGGCATGTGCAAACCATGGTCAAGGACTTACATTCTTGGCATGCCCAGCAAAAGTGTTCAAGACCCACGGCAGACTGCTTCTCCCAATATAAGTTTGCTTCTCTCTCCCTCCCCGGTTGAACATACCACTTACCCCAACTGGGCACATGTAGCAACGGACATAGCAGCCTCCTATGTATCCTTCTAGATGTACACATGCGTATGCAGGTTTGTTTGTTTTTACTCAGTAGTACCTCATGCAAATTCTCCTAAGTCAACTTACATGTTTCTACTTTATGCTTTTTAGTCGTTGCATAATATCACATACGTGGGTGTTCCATTATATATCCAGTCCTTTTTTTTTTTTTTGAAGATTTTGTTTGTTTATCAGATAGAGATCACAAGTAGGGAGAGAGGCAGGCGGAGAGAGAGGGGAAAGCAGGCTCGCCGCCGAGCGGAGAGCCTGATGCGGGGCTCAATCCCAGGACCCCGAGATCATGACCTGAGCCGAAGGCAGAGGCTTTAACCCACTGAGCCACCCAGGCGCCCCTATCCAGTTCTTTCTTATCAAGTGTTCACTTTGTTTTCAGTTTTTGCCACCACTGTAGCAATAAAAATTCTTACCTGTAAGTCTGTATACACCAGGGCTCTTATTTCCGCTGGTGTGATTTCTGGGAAGACGAATACAGTGATTCCGTGTATTGGTTCTCTCCTGAATTGCTGCCTTCCTGGTCATTACAGAGACCGCGGCTCCCACGACAAGTCCAAATCCCTGGCATCATCTGAGAAATTGCTGCTGGAATTTCAACTTAGTATCTATTTTGTCAGCCCTGTCAATGCGTTTGTGAGCAAACTGGACATGCTTTAATAAGTCCTTCTTTTGACCCAAGTCCCCTAGAGAGGATTTTAGTCTACCACTCAAAATCCTGGCTCATGCAATGTATTTTCCATTTTAATATAATACTGTACATTCGAGATGACAACACTCTCCTGTCCTTGGTAGGGACACAGCCTTTGGGTTGCTTTTCTAAAAAAGATGTAAGATTGGTACAGATCCATTACTTAATATTGCATGTCTTATATTTCAACTGGAAAGAACCGTTTATCTTTTACCAGTGCTACTGGGCAGTGGGTAACACTCCATGTAGCACTTTCTTCCTCTCACAGAGAAATGCCAGACCTTCTTTCCTCCTCTGTCATGCAACCAGATAGACTGATCTTCATGGGTCAGTCGATTGCTTTTGGGTACAAATGAAAGAAGAGAGAAGCAAGTCCCTGTGTTTTTTTGAAACTACATATGGCTGATCTCGTTCAAGAACAACCAGAGAGATTTGAATGAAAGTTTTTGGTCCCCCTCTCTGCCACACCTTTTTAGAATTCTTCCTGAAACTTTCACACTTAAAAGTAATCATTTGAGGATGGGAATAAAAACCAAGCCAAACGTGCATCTATTTAAATCATTTATTTCAACATAGGCATTGTTTTAAATTTGCACCTTATCTTGTAACACTCCTCGTATCTACAGAACAGGATTGAGAAAAGTACATAAAAGGATTATTTGACCACATTTTAACAAAAGTGCTTAAGGCTTACCTGTTTCAGAAACACAGGTGTGCCAGTCAGAAAGAGCCTCTAAGTGGTAATACATTCACAAACTTGGTGGGAAAGTAAAATATTTACATAATCACTTTGTACATTTAAACGGGATATTCTAAGGCGTTATCACTACTGTTAACAATAAAATCTTAACCAGTAAGGCCTTAATCCTCTGGCATTCCACAGAGTATAGTGCTTTTATGCAGGTGGGAGTTTTTCAATTTTATTCCCATCTTCACCATAACCTAAGTGGGTTTTCTATCACTATTTCTAGTACAGACAAACATTTACCTTCTACACAAAATGGTTTTTATTCACTTTTTGTCAGTCGAAACCTTGTCAGTAGCAGTTGGAAGTTTTATTAACAGCCATGTATTTATAAATGTAAGGGGGTAAATTATTCAGAAGGAGGTCTCTAAAAATTAAAATAACCTCATTAAGCCACCCCCGCTTTTTTACGTAGGCTCCACACCCAATGTGGAGCCCAATGAGGGACTTAGAACTTTCGACCCTGAGATCATGACCTGAGCTGAGATCAAAAGTCGGTCTCCTAACCGACTGAGCCACCCAGGCACCCACACCCTATTTTAAATAAACTGTACACTGTGAAATTGAAGTCCATTATCTAAACAAGTTAATAATTTAAAGATACTTATTAGAAAGGATTTCCTCATGATTTACTCCATTTATGTGAATATTTATTTTAATAATGATTAGAACACAAGTGAGGGGTATAAAAATGACTATTATAAATTACTATAGCAGTACCAAAAATGAGTATTAAAAAGCAGCAATTCGTATGTTAAAATACATAGAAATTTGCTGTACTTCTTTAACGAAGCATTTTATAAAAGTATAAAACTATAGAAGGTGCTGGGTTGTTTTTTTTTTTAAAGATTTACTTATTCATTTGAGAGAGTGAGCGAGCAGGGGGAGGGGCTCAGGGAGAGAGAGAATCTCCCTGCTCAGTGCAGAGCTTGACATGGGGCTCGATCTCACAACCCTGAGATCATGACCTGAGTTGAAATCAAGAGTTGGATGGTCAACTCACTGAGATACTCAGGTAGCCCTAGGAGGTGCTCTTTTTATGAATTTTCTGTTTCTTTGATTCTTGAGCCAGAGCAACAAGCAAACATTACAAACAGTGCAAATGAGCATCAGCCATCAATTACCTTTGAGTTCAAATAGGAGACTCCAGTGCAGAGCAGAAGGGCCTCAGAGTAACTGCTTATCCTCACCTTAATTTAACTAACTTGTTACAGCCTAAACTCAGTGAAATATAAGCTAACTTCATTTCACCTCCTGTAACATACATGTAAACTCAGAGTACTTACTGAAATAGAACTTGCAAGCGGACCATTTTTCAAAAATCGCGACACTTAACGTTAAAATATGAACTCTGAATATTTTAAAATTAGATGGGAAAACGTAAGCCACGGTTTATGAAACTTGTACTTAAATAGTCAGATAAATAGAAGGGGAAGGGGAAAGGCAGAATTTACACACAAATAAGAAAGGAATAAAATGTTATTTCTTCTTTTTAAGGGGAAATATTCAGCACATTTGATTTAAAACTCTATTATCAGTCTCTTTGAGCTTGATATTGGTCAGAGCCTGGACTTTAAAACAATTTATAGATTTAAGGAATAGCTTTCATGTCAGTTACCACATGTTTATTAGTTTTGGGTTTCATGGGAATGATGTAAAGTAGCCCTGGTATTTTGCTTCCAGGCAACGCAATGGGTAGGAGGATAATAATAATATAGCTCTTTCTTGCATTTCTATCAGTTCCAGATCTCTATATGCTTCACCAACACTATCATTATCCTTAATTTATATGGATGATACAGACTGGGTGAGAAAAATGGAGAACAGAATTGGGTCAGGAAGCAACTATGAAGCAATCCGAAGGAAATCCACTCATGTGGACCCTCACAGCACTAAGATCCTGGAGGGCAGGCTTTCTGTAGTTCGAGTTCCAACATCTGTTGGTGTTTATCCTATTAGGAGGGGAAATTCCAGAAGGTCTCCTTGGCAGTTAGAGTTAGAAAACCAAGGTATCAGGGGGTATGAAGAAGGATAGAATGTATGTATTAGATAGAATGTATCTAATGTAGTCTAGATACATTATTGAAAGAGTCATAGTGACAAGCACTGAGAAGCTGTGCCTTATAGTTTTTCAGGGGTTTGCTCTGCCTTTAATTTCCAGGGGGGTCTGGTAAATGGTCCTGCAAAGAAGCCAGTGAATCCCAGTGTTTCTGACCTGACTCAGCAGCATTGTAGGGGCTTGGCCAAAGCTACCGCTTGATATTTGTGACTAAAACGTGCATATGAAATCAAGCGTCCTATCCTGCAAATAAAGAAAATCGAGAAATGGGGAGTCCTAGAGAAATGGGGAAAACCAGCTGGGGGGAGAGCTGCAGGGAGGATGGCAGTCCCACGAAGGGTGTCCACTTACCTGCATCCACAGTCATGCTCCCTTCCTGAGCAGGAATTGTGTGGCCAAGCCGCCTCTGCACCATCGTACTGCCGGCCTGAGTCCTTGATAGATTAAAATTCAGCCCTTAACATATCAGCCGGTCCCTACAAATGTCTTCAAAGGTATTCCTTGGAGTACTACTATTTTGGGCTTAATAGGAATTCAGCTCCTCATTTATAACCTCAATAAATACATCACACATCTGTCTCCCTGGCTTCACAATGGATCTAATAGGATGCCTTTGTGAAAATTCCCTTATTTTTGTGTAAAAGGAAAAAAAAACCAAAACCCTAAACCTCCTAAATGCCAGGTCAAACAGGATGATACCATTGACTCCATGGCCATCATCAAGACTTTTATTTAATGTCCTGGATATAGGGTGTGCAATGGAAGGGGAAATATAGAATTTTCTAACTACTAACTTACTGAAGTTATTAGTTTTGCATGTGCCTGGGGTAGTAGGGCTGCGTATCACAATGAAAGGTGTAAAAATTTAGGGAGAAAGTAAAGCAGAAAGCCAAAACTGGACAGTGGGGAGAAAGGCCAAGAACATATACAGAGGGAGAAAACAGCAGAGAAGCCCCCCAAATAAAAATTCATTTCCTCTAGAATTTAGAAAGTATATATATATATATATATATATATATATATATATTATAGAGAAGAGAAGTTAGAGAATTCGGGTTGTTTCAGAGCAGGTGCTGCTCAGACCAGATCTTTTTTATACTGTCCTTCTCAAGGGCATACACATTTACACTTCATTTCCATACAAGCTTTTGGTGGAAAGGTTAGGCATTTTATTGAAGAAGGCTCACAGTTCTGACTCTTTGTCATTTTCATCCAGATAATATTCATCATCTGTGGTTGTGTCTGTGTCACAATCTGAGTCCAGTGGATTCTCTTCATAGATATTAAGCGGTGTGCTTGGAGATAAGGCATCTTCTGGCATCTGGCCCAGAGGAGAATTTGAGCCGGATGGCTCTGTTGGATTAGGATCACTAATCACGTCATCTTTCAGGAAGCCAGGGTTCTTGAGAAAGCTCGGCTTCCATAATCTTCCTTGTGTGAGTGACCTCTTTACATTCTCCAAGAAGGCCAGCTGCTGTTCTTTCCCAAAAATTCCGTAGTCAATGGGTCTGGATATAGACGTGGCAGACCGGGGACCCATTTTTGTTCTGCCACTCCACAAAACTGGATTTTCATTTGCGTCACAGGAGGAAAGCTCAGAAAAGGATCTGAATCTTCGACTGTACCCACCATTGCTAGAGAAATCATTCCCTAGGGTCAGCTGACTCAGGGCATTGACAAGAGACGTGCTCTCAGACAAATGGCGTTCCCTGACTTTTGGAGGATGGCTTTTGCGTATTAGATTACCGTGCACACTGATGCTTTTTAAACTGTTTGAGTGACGGCGGTGCGGTTCAGGTTCCCACTCCAGAGATGAAGCACTTTGTTCCTGCCAATAAGTGGACAACGGGAGGCTCCCTCTGGATTTCTCTTCAGGCTCCAATGGAAAAGGAGGGTTCAGTCCTTTCTGATGGTCAGAGAAGTCTGCTTCCCCGAGGCTGGGGAACGTCGGTTGGGTCAAGGCCCCTGACTCTCTTCCCAAGGTCTGAGCTGCCGCTACGTCTTTAGACTTCTCACACTTGGGTGATGAGTCTGAGACATTTTTAGACTCACTCTGACATAGTTGTGACATGCCGTTAGACTTCTGATTGCTTAAATGTGTAGAAGCTTCTCTGTCGGATATTATAGTCACCTTGACAGAGTTCTCGGATTTCTCCACACCCATCACATCGCTACTCAACCTGCGTTCATCTCTGGATTCTACGGGCTTTGGAGCAGGCTCGGGGGACAGAGCGTCACACTCTGGTGTTCCAAGAGACAGACTGTCCAAGCTACAACTCTTCCCACTTTGGGGGAAGATAGTAGCTACATGTCTTCTGGGGCTTAAATCTTTAGCTGAGAATTTTCTGCTGGCTTTGGACATGGCTGCCCATCTGTGTTTAACTAAAGATCTGTTCTTCCCTTTTTCTGGGTCATCCAAGCTGGTTTTATTTTTATTGCTTCCTTCAGGAAGGGAAGGTTGATCCCATGCCAACCTCCGTATTTCGTCTTCAGCTTTGCCGTTCTCTGTCATACTTACCTCCTGACTCCTTTGAGGTCGGTCTCTGGGTTCAGACTGCAAACTGTCTACATCTGCTTCACCTGGACAAGTCCCTTCATCAAGGTGTAGATTTTGCAAAGCTGGAGTAAGAGCAAAGACCTGGCTTTCTGAGTCAGAAAGTCCTTTTTTAGTCTCATTTTGGACATGTGTTCCCGTTTCCCCTCTTACTTGCCTAGGCTGCGATCCATGGGCCCTCCCAGCCGTAGCTTCGCCTGTGGTATCTTTCTGAGGGCGTTCCGCAGTTCCAGCAGCTGTAATCACCACAGCCTTACCTGCACACTCCTCAGAACTTCCGGTTGGGGAATTTCCAACTGTCTCTTCTGAGCGGGCTGGAAGATGAGAAGGGCCACGGTTACCCAACTTAATGGGCTGCTGACAGTCTTCCGAGTTCTCTTCTGTAACTTTTTTTCCCTGAAGCATTGATGAAGGGTGCAGGGTTTCACTTGGCCACTTCTTCCCTCCCTCCTTTCTGCTCTGTGAATCACCAGCAGGTGTTTTAGTGAAGTTATCTGGGGAAATCTCTCTAGTTTTCGATGGTCCTTTATGAAGAGAAATATCTGTCTCCGTAGAAGCCATTTCCTGTAATGTGAGCTCTGAGGGTCCAAGGTCTGGTAAAGCAGTCATATCTTCAGTGGTGTGAGAGAGAAAATGGCTCTTCTCCTGGGCAGAATTGACCAGCCTCTTTTGACCTTCAGATGAAGGTGTTCCTGAGTGCTCTTGTGGAGAATCATTTAGTTTGTCCTTTTCAAAAGCATTAGGAAATGCTTCAGTCTCCACTTTCATTGACTCTGGATGTGAATCAATTTGCTGTGTATACTTTTCAAGAATGTTGCAGAATTTCTTGCTGTATTTCCTTGGCAGAGTGTAATATATCGAAACCACCTCAAGACATTTTACATTATCTTCATCACCAGAAACAGAAAACACACTAGTGGTCTTAAATTTGTGTAATGTTTTCCCACTTTCTTTTCTTGACATGTCTGAAGAAAAAGGCAAAGGGTCTTCATTTGAAAAGAGACCTGTCTTGGAGGAAGCAATTTTGCCATCCTTTTCAGTATGTTCTTGAAAGTATTCCATTTGAGGGTGTCTTTTGGGTAAAGAACAATCGCTAACAGGCGAGTTACTTTCTGGAGGGCTAATGATGGTCTCCCAAGGTTTTAGTGTTAGAGCACAAGCACCTGTGTCTGAGGCCAAGGATTCTTCTCTTTCATCTCTCCCATTAGAGGCATCTGGTGCCCCCGAAGGACACGACACAGCCCTCTTGATGAGGAATGGAAGTGGTCCTTTTCTAACAGAAGCAGGTCTAATGTTTTTCGTATGTGTCATCCTCTTTGTGGCTTCAGACGCTACTGAGACCAAGTCTGAAACAGCTTTGAAACATTTGCTTTCTGACTCCGAAGAACTGGAACTGAATTTGTTTGACGTGTACTTCCCTACTGGGTCTTCCACCTTATTCTTGATTTGGAATGGAAGTGGGTCATTCCTAAAGGAAGAACGCACTACCTTACTTTCCAGTTTCCTGTTATTGATGAAGAAACTGGCTGATTTTCTTGGCGAGATACAGTAAGTTGTGTGACCCTCAGGACGCTTGGAACTGCCTTGTTTCATTTCCCTGTGGTTACTTTTATCACTTGATGCTGATCTGCTTTCTGTTTTGCTTAACTTTTCAAAACAGGATATGCATCGTCTTATTTTTCCTTTTCCTTTTCCCTCCCTGCAAGGAGGGCGGGAATGACATTTGACAGCGTCAACTACCTCATCATGTACGAGCACAAAATTATCATGACTCCTTTGGTTTTCTGAGGAGCTTGGGGCAAACTGATCATTTTGGGGTTTACTATCATTGTTTTTTTGTTCTCCTTCTCCCAGAGATGGATCTTTGCCTGAAGGACTTCTCCTGGAGAATGCTGTTGTAGAAGGAATCACCAGAGCCTGGAGTAAAGAATTATTCGATGGTGACGTATCAGGTAGGATAGCTGAGGACAGATCTAAAGCGTCACCTCGGATCTTGTGGCCGGCCGCTGATTGGCTACAGTTCATAGAATGAGTTGTGCTGCGTTCACCACTTACTCTTACTTCCTGGTGACACCCTGGTTCTGGGCCGGGAAATGATGTTGTTCTGCTTTCCTGAATGAAAGGAGGGGTAGTTGCTGGGCCAACTTTTCTATTCCCAGGATAATTCCTATCTTTTTTTAGTTCGTTGGATTTCCCTCTGTGTGATAGATGAATTTTGGATATATCTCTCTGTTTGGAACTTACTGTGGTAGACGCATTCCAAGCAAATCTTCTGCTCTGGGCTGAGTCCTGGGAGAGGGGATCTTGAAAACTGGGGGAAGGGTTAGAGATTACGGTCTGTGCGTCGGGTTGGGGCATTTCACTTGTCACGTTTGTCTGGTCCATCTTGTTCAGTTGTTCATATTCTCCCAAAATAGAGTCGTTCAAGTCTTTCTCATGGCTCACTTCTGTGGCCACGATATTGGGTAGGTTTTCAGTAAGAGGTGGAGAATCAACTGAATTCCTTTTGGTCACGGTGACTTCTGTATAGGTTTTTCCTGGAAGAGAGGCAGGCTTAATTTTCTGTGCGGTGACGGTGGGCTTCTGAAAGATGGGACTCTGAGGATTCCCTCTGTCATCAGGAATCTGGGGGAATGAAGTTTTGAACGTAGATGCTAGAGTCTGAGCGATGCCAGATGAATAAGATTCTTTGTTTATGTGTATATCCGTAGGACGACTGCCGTCTTGACACACTGACTTACCAGATGGGATGTGATAGCCTGGACCAGTCAGAGCACAAACATTCGGTGTGTTGAAATGAGTCAACTGGCTCCCATTACCTCGTGACATCTCCATGCTCTCCAGCGTGGGTGTCAGAGAATCAAACTGCCAGGGGTGTGGCTCTTCTTGACCTCCGAACATATTTGTTCTGTAACTAGAAGAAAACGATCCCCGGTGTTGAGAAGGAACACCATGGCCACGAGCAGCCAACACACTATTTGCTTCCATGGAAATCATTTCAAAGTCTCTGTGGGAAGAAGGGAGGAGATGCCTGCTTTGATGAAACTCAGACCAGGAAGAATGTTCCTCCTGTTGGTCCCAAAAAGGACTCTGTCTAAATCTTTGTTCCCTGTTTCGTCCAAAGGTGTTGCTAGAGAAAGATTGAGCAAATGGGTTTTCCTGAGGGTAGAATGGCATATTCTCTGAATTCTCAAATGGGTCAGGACTCATTGCATTATCCACGGGGGCATTAAAATGAATACCTTGGTAAACACTCTGTGAACGGTAGAATCCGTATCTCGTCTTCTCCCGAAAACATCTGGGATACGCATACGGGTCGGCAGTGTCAATCTCCATGGGCGAGGGGGCCCTCGGAAACTCTTCCTGGCTCTGTCTATCTCCAGAAGAATCTGCTCTATTCCATATGATGGATGACAAAGGAGTCCTCTTTGGGCTCTGCTGGTGCCTGGGTGGTAGAAACCCACTCTTGTTCTGAGTGATGGTTGGAAAATGTAAGCTTCTTGCTGTGAAATATCTTGTAGCTGGTGAAGCTGATCGTTGCCTGCTGTCAAAACACAGAGAAGTACTACCAAAAGTATTCTTTCGCACAGAATCTTCTTTTAGGAGCCTGGGCTCCCTTGTTCTGTACATATCATAAATTGTTTTTGTTCTTGGAGAAAAGGTTCTAAAACCTTCCCTAGGGGCTCCTGGCCTCAGGATGTCATAGATAGACAGATTAGAAGTTTCATTATAGTGGTTTTTGTGCCATCCGGTGATATTACCGTGTGTGTTCCCTCTAGAGTAGAAATGGCTGAACTCTGTTCTCGAGCCATAGCTGAGAGATGTTGTGGTATTCACGGAGCTTGGACACTGTTCCTGAGCCAGTTTGGTATCCAGATCATCCAAAACTGAAAGGAGAATATGAGTCAGCTTTTTTGTACAACACTTTACAATCTAATAATAATTTGAGTTGTTGGGGCCCCTCATCAAGAAATAAAATCATTTAAAATTTTATTTTTATTTTTTTAAGTAGGCTCCATGCCGAGTGTGGAGCCCAACATGGGGCTTGAACCCATGACCCTGAGAGCAACACCTGAGCCCAAATCAAGAGCTGGATGCCTAACTGACTGAGCCACCCAGGTGCCCCTCTAATTTTATTTTATTTTATTTTTTTTTAATATTTTATTTATTTATTTGAGAGAGACACAGTGAGAGAGAGCATGAGCGAGGAGAAGGTCAGAGAGAGAAGCAGACTCCCCGTGGAGCTGGGAGCCTGATGCGGGACTCGATCCCGGGACTCTGGGGTCATGACCTGAGCCGAAGGCAGTCGTCCAACCAACTGAGCCACCCAGGCGTCCCTCTAATTTTATTTTTATATAAATGTGGTGACATATGTTTTGATTATGTTTTTAAGATATTCTGAATTTTACAAAGTTGTGGAGGAAGTTTCTTTTTCATTCTTTTTCAAAATTAACTTTCGATAATGCCTTAAGGACATAAAGCTACATTTTTTTCCCCCAACAAAAAAATTTTAAGTGTGTGTTTGGCTTTTTTTTTAGTTCATCTTTTGTGTCACCAGGTAGCTAAAATATTTCCCACCATGTTTACCTCAGAGGGTTCCAATAAAAATGAGAGTCTGTAAATAACATGTGATTTCTCAGTTGTACTGTTAAAAAAAAAACAGCATTACCACCAAAAGCTCAAGCATGTAATTTATAAACATACTTACTTGGATGGATTTGAGCAATACAGAAAATTTAAAGTTCTATACAATATTGCTAACTGATATGCTAACGCTAGATTGTTTTCCTGGAAAAATAAAGACCCCACTATCATCCCTATAATATCACACTTTCTATGTGTCAGCCCTGGTTCTAAATACTTAATTTATTAATGCATTAAATCCTCACAGAACCTTATAAGACTGGCACTATTACTGTTCTTGTTTTATAAATGAGGAAACTAGGAATGAACAGATTAGGTTGTCAAGGTGACAGGCCGTCTGTCTGCTGAGTCCACATAATATAATGCCTGGGCCATAAAAGCTCGCTTTTCATTTTTTTAATGAACTATAAAGGTGATTTCACTGCAAGCTCATGATGTTACAAGGATTTGGACTTGCAGTTATTAAGCACGGTTGACTTTTCTCTCAGTGGCAAGGTTGGAGGGGTGGTGTCCAAGTTAGAGCTCAGTGACCTCCTTCTAATATGGAGGACCTGGGGCAGCCCAAAACCAGAGATCAAGCGTACTAGGACCCCAGCCTCTGAGACCACAGACAAGACACAGGATACATTCAGTCTGTTGATATTTCTTTGAATTGTGTTTACTTACTCATATATGACCTCTTTTCCTCAAGAAAAACCTGTCAGATTTTTAAATAGAACAATTATCTTTTAAGGTTTCAAGATTCCCAAGGACCCATTTTGTCGTGGATACATTTTTATCATATTCATGTTATAATAAATACAAACAAGTAGATTATGTATTTATTGAAGAAATGTTCATTCATGACAGTCAAATCTGGTATGAGAAATAAGTTATGGGATAATTTAAATTGCTGAAGAAACCACAACTTTCCTTCTAAGTTACATAAAATGGTGCACTCTCAGGGGCACCTGGGTGGCTCAATTGGTTAAGCATCTGTCTTAGGCTCAGGTTATGATCCCAGGGTCCTGGGATCCAGTCCCACATCGAGCCCTCTGCTCAGCAGGAAGCCTGTTTCTCCCTCTGCCTGCTGTTACCCCTGCTTGTGCTTTCTCTCTCTGACAAATAAATACATAAAATCTAAAAAAGAAAAAAAAAAAGTAACATGCTAAAGTTTAAAAAGAAATGGTGCACTCTCTCCTTGGTTCCTTAAAATGATTTGTCATTAAAAAATTTCATCTTAATTCTTCAATGACAGGGAAAGGGAGGCATATCAGCATTTGTGAAGGTGGGTGGGATATATTTCTAGATATATCAACTGTGTTCAGGCAGGTGTCAAAGAGATTTCTGATGTCTGTTCCAGATTTTCCCAACCCTACAGTATTTGTAAGCTGGTGCTATTTAAGTCTGCACAGCCACCGGAAGAACAAATCTTGAAAATCTGTACCTAAGGAAGTCTACAGGGAATCATCCCAAAGAAAAAAATTATTTATCTCCCGTCTCTGAAATAATTCCACTTATCCACACACACAAAAATCAAACAGTGCCAAAATGTAAGCCAAGGTATAAAGAAAACACAATTATGTCAAAATTATATCATGAGTAAAAAATCTGTCCTTGAAACAAATTATAATAAAGTCTCTTTGATTGCTGTTCTTCCTTTCAAGCTAGTTATAGTTTTTTTCCCCCCTTAAATAAAGTCTTTTGCTACCTACAAAAGCAACATAAATGGAAAAGTATAACAAAAAGATAAAACTCCTGGATTCCTCCCCAGATGTAACCACTTTTAACATCCCCATAGGAGGATTTTAAATTATTCAAAAAGCCCGTTATATTCATTACTCTTGAGGTTAAAAAAAATAATAATCTGTTCTGTGTTTCCTTTTTATTTTCAGAGAAGCCAAATCATTTTTTTTTCCATGTCATAAACAGTAGCTCTCCTATATTAGCAAACCTTTGTTGTGTAACAGATTTTCCTCTGGGCTATGTTTCTCTGAAGCAAGTTCTCTGCCAGGAACCATGTAACTGAAAGGTCAGCCCCCTCTCCCCCAGATGGGTGTCTCTCTCTGACCACCCCCCTCTTCCAACACAGCATCCAGGGGTGGTCATTGCCTCTGCAAACAGAATTTAGTTCCTCAGCATGAAGCTGGTGAATGACTTCAGAGTTGACTGTTCCACTGGCCAGGTTTCATTTTGATACAGAATAACCTAAGGAAAGGGGAGCTATGCTTTATATAATAATAAGATCCATGTGTATGCGGCTCCTTTAGGGATGTGTCTGTTTTTATTGCTATCTGTCGTACAAGGTTAGTTGTTTAACAACAATTAGGTTTTGTCACAGTGCATTTAGGTACTGATTGGGAACAATAAAAGTCCATTAGGAACAGTAAGCTTTATATACGTATTTCTTAGAAATGCATTTCCTTTTTACCTGAGGTTAACTATGAAACGTTATTATCATTCCACAGAATTATCAGCCTTCATCTGAGCATATTTGCTTAGATTATATTTAAATAGAAGATTCTGGAATATTTGTGTTAGTAGCATGTAACAGCCTCCTCTTCAGATAAGGGAAGCAAAAGGATTTAAAAAATATACGGATTGCTATGTCTTGAGCGTTTTAACACACACTGCAATCATTATTTGCTTTAGTTCTGGGCGTCAGCTTCATACATAGACTTACCTTGGAAATACTCATTTTCTAGCAGGGATGCATCCCACGGGGGCACGCCATTTCCCTCCCTCATGCTTGTGGGCCTGGGGACAAATGCACTCTCAACTGGCGGATTTTCCAGAGGTGAGCTGTGTATTTTTGCCTGCTAATTTTGAGACAGAAAAATGCAATATTATTTCTGGACCTTCTCTAGCTAGAATACTCACATGTCCCCACAAAAAGCTCCCAAACCTAAAATTCTTAGTCTAAGGAAAGCAAATCAATTTTTCTAACACCTCTCAACTTAGAATGTTTCATTATTTCTGTCATTTGTAAGTGATCACGAACTTCTCTACACTTACACTAATGGTTTTTACTCTGAGTCTTCAAGCAGTATATTGAGTTTCTTTCTGCCAAGTACTCCTACAGACACAGCACGACACAAGTCTTAGGGAGTTTCCCGGAACACAGGAAAGAAATCGACCTCTCTTGAATTGGGAGTGTTGTCTCCATGGCCCCAAAGGCTGGAATTTTAGATTTCTTAACACTGTTCCTGCTCTATCAAGAGCTGGAGAGCTGCAGCTTGTACCGGACCTTAAGATTTGTGAACTTGATGCTTTAGGGGGAAAACAAAAACTATTTCTAGCCACAGAGGTCATTCAGAAGGGTAGACCCTCCCAGACAGACATAAGCAGCTGATACAGTTCTGGATCAAAGGTGCTAAAAAGTATGACCTTATAAATTTTTGTTGCTGTTGTGAAGCACTCTTGCTAGCAAGACAGAGTTTAGGGGAATGAGGCAGTGTTAATGTTTTCCTGTCTTAACAGCCACCGTCGATCTTGATTTCTCCAAATCTATCACTGCCCTACTCTCAAGCTTTAGTTTGTCCCCATGACCTCAGGGGATCGTGCACTCCCACGCCTTCACTTTCTATTGCCGAAACTCCATTTGCATTTCCTCTGTCACACCGGTTCTGGGTTCTGTGGCTCCTCTCTAACTCGTTCTGCTCCTGTCCCTGAACAATGCTACCAGCCACTTCCCATTCAGTCTCTGCTATCCGCTCCCTCATCTACCCAGTGCTTGCCGCTTGGCTCCCATGGCCCCTCCAAGTTTTCTCCTTCCCTTTGATGTTTGAAATGTTACCTTTCATCTCCCCTTGAACGCTTAAGACCAAATCTCTAATGTTTCCCAAGCTCCAACTTTTTTACTTCTCCATCCCAGGTCTGTCTAGTTCTAAATCTCAGGTTCTCCTGATTTCTATACTCCTTACAATCTAGGATTTTCACTCCTACCTGTTTTCACTCTCAAGATCTAGGTCACTTATTTCTTGTAGGGGCCCTGCCCACGTTTCACTGACTTAGAGGTTTTCAATTCTATAGGCAAGGAATGGAAGGGAAGACATGCCGACATTTATGAATAAGAGAGAAACAATCCTGCGATCACTTTTGTGGGTCATTGGATGTAATTAAACACACTAATATAAGAACCAGAAGTAAACAAATACAGAGACAATGTAACTACAGTGAGATACCAACTGGATAAAACCAACTATAATAAAACTGGAAACAAGGGGCGCCTGGGGGGCCCAGCTGTTGAGCGTCTGCCTTCAGCTCAGGTCATGGTCCCAGTGTCCTGGGATCAAGCCCCGCATCGGGTTTCCTGCTTCTCCCTCTCCCGTTTTCCCTGCTTATGTTCCCTCTCGCTGTCTCTCTCTGTCAAATAAATTAAAAAAAAAAAAAAATACTGGAAACGAATCATTCATGTAGACTAGATGCATCTGATTAAGAGAAGAGCATTGTCACTCAACCATTTTGACACCTGAATGAACTTCAACTCTCCTTTGTACAGACCAGACCACATGCTTTTTGGCTTCCTGGATCATATGCTTTTATAATGAAAATTTACACTTAAATGAAAAATACATGGACGGAGGGCTCAGGTGAAGAGATGAACGTCTCAAAAGGGTTCTTGCCCCCTAGAGACCCTGTCTTTGGTCCCTCTTGGGGCTTCTGCTAAAAGACCAATGCTACTCGTCCAACATGTTAAGGACACTTCTCACACACAGAGGTACAGGTTATATGACGAAAAGAAAATACGGAGAGTTTATTTACACTCAGCTTTAGGGGCGCCTGGGTGGTTCAGCGGGTTAAGCTGCTGCCTTCAGCTCAGGTCATGATCTCAGGGTCCTGGGATCGAGCCCCGCATCGGGCTCTCTGCTCAGTGGGGAGCCTGCTTCTTCCTCTCTCTCTGCCTGCCTCTCTGCCTACTTGTGATCTCTCTCTGTCAAATAAATAAATAAAATCTTTAAAAAAAAAAACTTTACACTCAGCTTTAATGTGCAAGGACATACTGTTCCGTGACGAAATGGTTAAAAAAAGCAACTGCCAGTCAATGGCAGGTACCAGGCATACGATCTCTCTAGAGACCCCTTTCACTTGAGCTCTGTGTGAGCAGTTACTGTGATTATTAATTATAATTATTAGCAGCAGGAGCATCTGCTCATTGAATATTCTAGGCAACATGGGTTTTATACAGTTACCTTATTTCATTATTTTCACCACGCTATGAGGTTGGTGCGATGATTACCGCCAATTTGAGAAAAACCTCACTTGGAAGAAGGGAATTTGCTCCCGGTCACACTGTGGAGGGAAGGATTCCTTCCCAATCTCTGAGATTCCAGAGTCCAGGCTGAATAACCTCTCTTCACTGTTCTGTTAGCTTATTAATACCCCAGGTCCCAGCTGGAAGCATCTTTTGAGGCCAAACGCAGTCCGAGATACTGAAGAATGTCCCGGCACCTAGCACGGGGGCAAATCCCCCCCGGGGCCCAGACACACACGATCTTCATTTGGGGCTCTGTCCTGGACTCAGAATCCTCCTCAAAACACTGCTCCATGCCATGAATTTGCCATAGAAGATGACGCCTAAGTCCCACTCCTGGCCTCGAGGGTGAGAACACCCCCACGCACCAAAATCCTGCTGCTCTTCGACCTTCCGTTTCAGCCCTTCCTCCCCAGCTCCCTTCCAGGGCCCCGTGCTCCAAGCCCCCTGCACCCGGTTCCCGAGAATGGCGCACCCTTCCTCCTAGACCGCCACGCGTGCTCCCGATCTTTGCTCTCTTCTTCCCCTGGAAAATACCAACGCATCCCTCAGAATCCAGCTCGTGGATCACCGTCACTGTGAGCCCTTCTCCCCGAAAAGAATTGGTTAGAATAGTGTTTTTGTACCTATTACGGTGCCTGTTATTATACCTGCGATATCCTGAGAAGTTGTTGACATTCCTCCCACTGGCACTTTGCCACCAGACCCCTCTCCTTCCTGCCAGTCCCCACCCCGATCCAGGAAACCAGGGATTTGAAGACAAACAGATCGGGACCCCGCAAGCAGACCCACTTCTAAAATAACTACGAAAGCTAGTATCTGCCCAGCATCCAGCACGGAATCAGCAGGTAAGAGACTCACGAAGATTTACTGAGCCGCACGTCAACACCATCTTGCCACCATCCCTTTGTCAGCTGCTGAACGTCTCTATCACATTTTGTCCAGTCCCTTGATGTCAACCATCTTATCTTTGAACAAGATCACTCAGGAATTCCATTTTCAACCTACTTTCAAAATATCCTCTCCCCTATGATACTTAGAACAAGTTAAAGAATTAAGTAGGGATTATCATTCCCATTCTGCAGATGGAAAACAGAGTCTGGGTAAGTGCCTTACTTAGGTCATAGGAATAATAAATGGTGGCCTTGGCTGCTCTCACTCATGTGATCTGAACCCCAACCCTGTTCTTTCCATTATGTTGCTTTTTATTGGTATTCTACTCATGCACATGACCTCAATTAAATGGCAGACGTTTTGGACGAAAACCTTGCTTTAAGCATTCCAGCCCCTCCAAGCCCATGCAGCTATCGACTGACTGATGCTCTATACCAAGGGAGAAAATTACATATATGAGATTTCTAGTAAAGACCCTTCCGAAAATCGAGACATACAAGATCTTACAGTTTAGGACTTGGAAAAGCATGTCTGAGACAAGAAAGCATAATGGTCAAACACATGAGTTCTCCACCAGTCCAAATCCTAGTTCTGCTCCTTACTGGGGGTATAACTTTGGACAAGGTAAACTCTTGGTGCCTTTGTTTCTTTCTTGGTAAAATGAAGACACAATAGTAATGACAAGAGCAGCAATAAGCCTCCCTCCCCAGCCCCACAGGGTCGCTGCGAGGATTAAGTGAGTTAATTGCTGGAAATACTTCAGCCTGGTGTCTAGCACTTAGTGAGTCCACTTGTTGGCCCTTCCTATTCTTCTACAGTCTCAGAGCAATTCCCGGAGGACTCCTCCCAAGGCCTACCATCGAATGAACTGGAAAAGCGTTCCAAAGAATTAGAAGCCAGAGTGTCAGAACACTGGCTCTTAAGATCTCAGTTCTAGTCTCAAACACGGCACCTAAAATAGGCTGAGCCAAATGAGGCCTGTTACTCGCCCCAGCTCCCACTACTGCTCTCGTCTGCAAGTCTGATGACACAAACAAACCGTGTCACAGAGTAACCTTAGACCATTTGAGAACTTCCCAGGGTGGCCAGACCTGTAGGGCAGCTGTCGGGAGTTGAAGCCTGAGCTCACTGATGTTATCACACACCCTGGCAAAGTCAACAAATTAATTTTTCAAGGTGTTGCTGAATTTGTTCTCCGTCTGCTCTCTTGCAAAGGTCAAGTCCACCAGTGCACCTGTAGCTGGAAAGCACTCGTTCATTCCTTCTTTCCACTTCTGAGTGTTCAGGTGGTGCCAGTGAGGCAGGAGGGAAAACACAGTCCTGGCCTCGGGGAGCTCACACTGGCCCAGTGTTGTAAGGACACTGGAGATGTGTGTTTGCGGGCACAGACCTCGCATGTCACCTCACATGAGGCCCAGCCACAATCTGTTCAGAGTGCTGGAGGGATCAAGTGGCCAAGGCCATGTGTTTTCTTTCTACTCTCAGAAATGGTGACTACTTGTACCTGGGCTGCCTGGCTCGAAGGAGGCGGCCACACTCCCTGGGGCAATGTGCGCTTCAGGGAACACTGGCAATTTCTGGAGATATTTTTGACTCTCATGGCCGAGTGGAGGAGAACTATTGGCATCTAGTAAGTAGAGGCGAGGGTTGCTGCTGAACAGCCGGTGATACCCAGGGTGGCCCCCACAGCGTGGAATTCCTCAGCCCAAAATGGCCGAAGTCCTGAGGTCGGGAGGAATGCTGAGCTACAAATCTCTAACCTTCTCTCTAGCTCCCCAAATGCTGTTTTCTGAAACCCTTTGCTTCTTCTTTTTATTTTTTTTATTTTTTTATTTTTTTTTTTTAAGATTTTATTTATTCATTTGACAGACAGAGATCACAAGTAGGCAGAGAGAGGCAGGCAGAGAGAGAGAGGAGGAAGCAGGCTCCCCGTGGAGCAGAGAGCCCGATGTGGGGCTCGATCCCAGGACACCGGGATCATGACCTGAGCCGAAGGCAGAGGCTTTAACCCACTGAGCCACCCAGGTGCCCCCTTTTTTTTTTTTTTTTAAAGATTTTTTATTTATTTTATTTGACAGGCAGAGATCACAAGTAGGCAGAGAGGCAGGCAGAGAGAGAGAGGAGGAAGCAGGCTCCCCGCTGAGCAGAGAGCCCGATGCGGGGCTCGATCCCAGGACCCTGGGATCATGACCTGAGCCGAAGGCAGAGGCTTTAACCCACTGAGCCCCCCAGGCGCTCCCCCCTTTGCTTCTTTGAAGCTGAAGAAAACGTCTACAGGGCAGCTGTTTTCTCTTTGAGCGGAAGGTCGTCTAACAGTGTAGCACAATCTCCTATAAAATGCCCGGTCCCCTTTGTAACCAACTTCCCACTAGGCTGCTAACCAAGTGATGAGAAGCTCATTACCTCAGATCTTGGCAAGAAGCCCTCAGCATCAACCGCCAACCTTCAGCTGTTTGTAGGCCAAGGGGATAAGATTTCCATGAATAAATAATGGAAATCTACACATCATACAAAACCTTTGTTTTCGGCAGTTTCTCTCTGAATTTTTATAAAAGCCATTAGCCAGAGTCAACAATCACTGTCTTGAGTTTCATTTGTTTTCCCAGCTCTCCCTCGCAGAGGGACGCATTTCCGAGCAGTGAAACGGTTAGATCCGAGCAGCAATCAAGAGTGCCAACGAAAGGTCATCTATTAGTCCTCAGACTGGGTTTTCAAATCCTGAGGATTCCCAATTAGCTCTAATGTTTTATAACTTCTAGGCATTTGCACTTCCTTCTGTGTTCCTCATATGCTTCAGACCCCATAGCTCCCTCCTGGTAGGGGAAGGTGAGCTCCGAGTCCTTCTCCAAGGAAAACAAGAGTATGGGAGCATCCTGGAGCAGGGCTGGATACACGACTCTCCAGCCCGTTGCTCCATGACAGGAGCCCCTGCCCCTAGCAAGCCAGCAGGGCTCATAAGCAAACAGGGCTTTGGGGCTGACAGAGCTGTAGGCATTACTGACTTCTGGTTGTGGAGTTACAGAAACCCAGATTTTCTATTCTGGACTCTACCATTTACCAGCAACCTTGAACATGACCTTCAGATTCTCTAAACCTCAGTTTCTTCATCTTTAAAATGGGGATAATAATAACATAGTTTGTAGATATCCCCTAGGGATTAAGTGGAATGATCTCTGCCAAGTGCCAGGTGATAGCAGGTTCTCCAAGAGAGTGAGGCGGGTTGTTGGTGTTGGTGTCATGACTGGGGCTCACACTTAAGGAGATAGCGCTCAGTGTTATTCGGGAGGAAGTGGCAATACTCTGAAGAGGAAAGGGGGCCTTCTTTTGTTTCTGAAATAAAAAACCTCTGTTTATATGTACTCCTCACCATGAATTCTACCATGCTTTCTGCAAAAAAAGAGAGAGAGAGAGAGAGAGGTACGAGTACTAAGATTCTCCTCCTGCATTCTTAGGTCCTTTCCGACATTCTTTTTCATCTCCAAAACATGAGTCACACCATAAGACACAGGCAGGTGAAGATCAAAAGTTAAGACCATGAAGCAAGATACAGGAAATGTCTAGCTGCTTAATCTTGTAAGCCTGTGAACACAGAGACACTTCAATCTAAACAGTGGGGTCAGTCCCTCCCTGTGAACTTGTCCCCGCCAAATGCATCCCACAGATCACTGGCTTCCACTCTGAACACAAATGACGATCTTGTCGAGAAAAGGTCAAGCCCAGACCCACACTGGCTTGCAAGAGTGCCCGTGGACACCTCTAGCTTCTTCCACTGCCCAGTGCTCGAAGTCTGTACTGTACGGGAGTGACCCGTGGTCCAAAATCAGAGATGCCATGATGGTGTGAGGGGACACACGATGGCCTCGCTCCCTCCCGGCAGAGCCAACCGGAGACCTACAACAGTTGGGAAACTTTGAACTCTCTAGGGCAAATCTAAGCTTCTAAAGTAAATTTAAAGCTGAGCCAAGGAGAAGCCTATTTGCGTAGGCAGCCAACCAGGGATTTCACTAATGCTGAATTCCTTGGCATAACCTTAACTTTCCAGTTACTCACCGTAAGGACTCGCCTCACAGACGCAGGAGGTCCCGGGTGGTTGTCACATCTGTGGAAAGAATGTGAAATAATTTCTTTGAAGAAGTGCCCAACTTTTACTAGGAGGAAAATCAACAGCACATTTGCTGTTATAGCTTAATAACCTGAGAATATATTAGAGGTATTTCTAACATCCTATAGGAAGACATTTCTTGGTTTGTGCACTGTTGGAAAAAACCTCAGAGAGCGTTTCTTAGGACTGTTTAGGATCGACACTTCCCACCTTTATCACTCAAGTAGCCAAGAAGAGATTACATAATGGTGGATTTGGATGTGAGTGCAGCATAAAGACAGAATAACAAAAAGAGTATTCATGGGTTGCAGGCTTACTGTGCATCAATACACGTTATGTCATTTAAAGACATCACTCTTGGGGCGCCTGGGTGGCTCAGTGGGTTAAAGCCTCTACCTTCAGCTCAGCTTATTATCCCAGGGTTCTGGGATCGAGCCCCGCAACGGGCCGTCTGCTCAGCCGGGAGCCTCCTTCCCTTCCTCTCTCTCTGCCTGCCTCTCTGCCTACTTGTGATCTCTCTCTCTGTCAGATCAATAAATAAAAATCTTTAATTAAAAAAAAGCAAGCCCTTCAAATATGGCTTCTGGTTGTTTAGTTTTATAAAGATGCCTTATTCACTAGGAAACCATCTTGGAGAACAATTACACTTTTACTGTTTATGCTGCTTCTCCCAGAAGGTGAAAAATTTACAAGACATGGGTCCCAAATTGAGATAGATTTTGATCTTTTAGATCCATAATCCTATGCCAGGGGGCACTCTGCCTGCATTACAGCTCAAGATTTAATAGACGGTGATGACTCACTGCTCTGTACGAAATGAGGTCCTCACCGTTCCTAAGAAAACAGCAAAGGGAATCGAGCATTAAAACAACGAACCAGGACTTTGGGTCAGATCAGCTAAAAGTGGCAAGATACGGTTTTCCTTTATTGGAGCTCCTAGCTGCTCCATGGTTCCCCAGAGTTGGGCATAAAACCTGGGAAGCCATACAGTTTTAGATGTTGAAGATATCCAGCTATAGCTGACGGTTTAGCTCGAATTTTAAACAGAAATGGAAATTAATATCATGGACTATGTTTCACATTACTCTGAAACACCAGCTCTAAAAGAAAAATATCTAGAACTTGAATATTGAATACTGCTCTTATTTTTATTCTTCTTTTCCCCCACAGCCTTACTGAGCCTACAGGCTGCCTGTTCTGAGTGTTTCGGAGGAAACCAACAGGACTGAGATAGGGACCCTGTTCCCTGAGAGCTTTTGCAGTAGGAACGATTAGATACATAAAGAGTCAAAATACAAGCAAAGAGGTGATGCGGACAATTAGGAGATGTTGAGTTAAATGCCCTGAACATGCAGAGGCCACGGTGAGCACTTGTGGGGGGTGAGCAGGGAAGGGGACAAGGGGAAGGTGGCTGGTGAACTGGTTTGAAAGGCAGAGAATAGCACGGGCAAAACCTGGAGATGGGCAAGAGCCAGGGAGCTCGGGAACTGGCAAGAAACTCAATTTTGCCGGAGCCAAGAGAACATGCCAGATTGGGAAGAGTCTTTCCAGAGCCCCGGGGGCTGCAACCCTCACGGTGTGCCCACGCGGTTCCCCAGGTCCTGAATCTGATTTGGAGCGTGGGCAGCTGGGGTAGGGATCTGTTCCCGGGACTGGCAGGAGGGTAGAGGATGTGACTTAGAGGGTGGCAGGAGCATGACAGAGTGCCACCGAGTGCAAGGGAGTGCTGTGCCCCGTGGGGGATGCGTGTCCCCTGACGGTGTGCAAGACCGAGTATGCCCCTGTGGATTTATGGGCGTAGGACTCAGGTGGCTTGGGGGCCCAGAGTCTCCACACCCATTCTCAGGCCCTCCTAAAAGTGAATTTCTGTTTCTAATGTGAAACATTAGAAAGCAAACATTGCTTGCAGAGTGAATGAAAGCAGCAGTGGTGTGATGGGAGCTCTGCTGGTAAGAGTCCTCTGGACAAGTGATTCCAAGGATCATGACCTGTGCCGAAGGGACACAAAGCTACCGCATCTTCTGCATTTGCTCTCAAGCCCTGCCGAGGCCACATCCTGAAGGTCACTCACTCCACCTATGAAACTTTTATAATTTCTCTCCCGACTCCTCTCCATCTTTCCTACCACCAACAGAGATCTGCCTAAAATGTACATGCAGTCACATCAGTCCCCTGCTTACCATCTTACAAGGTATTACTCAAAATCTTAATTGATGCAAGGCTCTTCTGTTGTCTGATGAGCCTCCCAGACCCACCCCCGACACCCTTCACACCTTATCCCCCAACACTCCGCTCATCTCTAGGTACCTGTAAGCTTGACTTACCGAATTTATTTCACTTCCATAAAATACTCTCTCGACTCTCCACCTTTGCAGAAGCCATTCAGAAATTCTCACTCAGTACATGAGAGTGTAGCTCAAGAATATTCTTTTAAAAAACCAGGGGGCACCTGGGTGGCTCAGTGGGTTAAAGCCTCTGCCTTCGGCACAGGTCATGATCCCAGGGTCCTGCGATTGAGCCCTGCATTGGGCTCTTTGCTCAGCGGGGAGCCTGCTTCCTCCTCTCTCTCTGCCTGCCTCTCTGCCTACTTGTCATCTCTCTCTCTCTATCAAATAAATAAAAAAAATTTAAAAAATTAAAAAACCAGAATCCCAGGTGACTTCCCCCACACAGTGATGCAGCACGCTCTGAGCACTGGCCACTGAGGAGCTCCATCTGGATGACCACGGGCCATGCAGACCCTCTGTGTCCCAAATGGACTCTGTGTCCTTCTTCCACATCTACTCTTTCCTATCCAGTCAATGATCTTGTAGATTCACAACCAGAAACCACCCATACCTCCCCACCCCCCCATTTATACCCCAGTTACGGCATGTACCATCTGCTGCCTTCATGTTGGCACTAGTCCCCTGCCTGTCCCTCTCCCTCCAAGTTTTGTTCCAATCCACTCCCTACTCTATAGCCAGAGCGATCAGTGTAAAGTGAATCACGCTACTTCGTGGTGTAATATTTTATGATTCAAACTCTACCCTGCACCTGCAAGGCTCTATACAACCTAGTCCCCATACACTCTGCATTTGTACATCCCTCTGCCACAGGCACTTGGCACAGCTCTGAACATCTGCACGGAATGTACCTGAAACCTCTTTCTACCACGTGTGTGCCTGGGCAACTCTCCTCTTCTTGAAAAGACTGATGTCATCTTCCCTGGAAGACCTCTTGGGCTCAAGACGTAATGTACCAGACACTCCCTCATACGTCGTGCTCGCAGAGCACGAGGAACTTCCCCACCGTAGCACCAGCGTTCTACGTTTCTCTCTTTCCGTTCCGTCATCCCCACAAGACTGAAGCCCGAGATAGCAAGGGCTGCATGCTTCCTTCCACGGCACCACGCACCGTGTTGCTTGAACACCCTTCTTGAATAAATAAGCAAATGTGTTCCTTTTCATCCTCATCACATCTGCTCCAACGATCTTTTGTCACCAGCACCTACTGAGTTTCCTAAGTCGGGGGAAAGAGTTCACCTCCATTCCCCCGTCTTCTTCACCCACCACATCCTGTCAGCGGGTTCTCCCGACTCTACATTCTAAGTCGTGCGCGAATCTGCCCACAGTTTGCCCTCCTCCCTGCCTGCTACCTCGTCCATCATCTCAGCAGCTCATTCCCTGGTCTCTCTGACTCTGGTTTTGCCTCCTCAAGTCTGTTCTTTGTGCTGCAGCCAGATCAATCTCCCAGCCTCGGCCATACAGGCATTTCTTTGGGGGTGGTGGTCGTAGCAACATGGGTTACCCAGCAACATTGCTGACCCCTACCCACCGAATGCCCAGAGTTCCCACCCTTCATTGTGAAAACCAGAAATATCTTTTGGGGGACAAAATTGTCCCTGGTCGAGAAGCACCACGCTAAAATAATGTTCGTAAAATGAAGATCTGATCATGTCATTCTTCTGCTTACAAACTAACAAGGGGGGCCACCTGGGTGGCTCAGTCAGCTGAGCGTCCAACTCTTGATCTCAGCTCGGGTCTTGATCTCAGGGTTGTGAGTTCAAGCCCTGCACTGGGTTCCATGCTGGGCATGGAGACTACTTTAAAAAAGAAAAAAGATAAAACTAGCAGTGGATAAAATAGACATGTGTACCTGCACACATGCACTGAATACACCAAAATATTTTAGTGTTTGTCCAGGGCAGTGGGTTGTGGGTGACTTTACCCAATATATCGGATATAAATATACATAAGTATACATACACACACACATATATAAGAGAAATACACACAAAATATACACACATTAAAACATATACATATATATAAAATATATAGAAAGTAAGGGAAAATGGTATTAAATGGAAGTGATTAAGATCTTCCCATTGTCTATGGGATCAAATCCAAGCTTCTTAGCGCTGCATGTCCTTAGCACCGCTGGTCCCTGTGTTATGGCCTCTGCCAACCTCTCCCATTCCACCTCTTACTGGTCTCACCTTATACTGGGTCACTGAACCTCAGTGACCTAGATGTGTTCTTGCTTTTTCCAGTCTCCACACCTTGGCTGTGTCAGTTTTTCTGCCTAGTGGAACCTCCCAACTCTTAATGACCGGGCTCAGTCCTCTGTGTCCTTTGGCAACGGGCTCTCCTCCTCCGGGAAGGCTTCCGGTCCTCCAGTCTGAGTTCAGCGCTTCGCCCATGTGTTCTCATGGCAGGAGTACCAGCACCCTCCCTAGCACTTACCAGAGGACACCATAATCACCAGTGGACACCATAATCACCAGTGGACTCAGCAGTCACTCAGGCCACAGCGAGGCCGGATGGTACCCCCTGTGAATTCCGCAGGGTGCCCCTTCCTCGAGATACTGTCATTTGTCGGAAAACTGCCATAAGAAATACCTGAACCCATGATATTCTGCCATGTCCTAGAGTTCGTGGGGCACCTGTTCCCAACCACATGCAGTGCTCTGCTCCTCCCTACCCCGTCATGATCTCTGGGTCTTGGGATCCAGACCCAAGTCAGGCTCTGTGCTCAGCTCAGCGAGTCTGCTTGGAATTCTTTCCCCTTCTGCTCTTCCCCCTGTTCTTTCTCTCTCTCTCCAACGAATAAATAAATGAAATATTGAATAAAAAATAATGGCATAATTCGGGAAGTGCACAGAAAGGAGGAGGAGGAAAAACTCGTCCTTATGTGAAACAGAAATGGCAAACTTTTTGCCTTTTTGTTAATTCATTCAGTCACCATGTTCCCACAGCTTTTTACCCACTCCTTATAGGAAATCAAAGCTTCAGTATATCATATACTTTTACTGACTGGGCCTTTCTCAAGTAAATATCTGATGAAATGACCAAATCCCTTTTCTTCCGGGGAGTGTCCTCCACGATCCAATGTCATTTTTTGGTTAAACCACAGCTTAAAAGATGAAAAGATATTTCTATGATACTTGAGTCTTTCAGGGTTGAGCAGGAGGCTGTATTTTGCCTGGAAGTGTGGGTTCTCTCCCTGTGATTTGCAAAAAGATCCTCTCAACTGCGTGGCTGACTTGTTCTGCGGAGCACAGAGTGTGACAAAGTGGAACCGAGATGGCTTCGGCAAGTAGGAACCTGACGGCTACCTGGCACGCAATGACTCTGCTTTCCTGGGGCTGGCCCGTGCAGCTGGCTGCTTCCTGGTGCAGGTCAAGGCGAGGAGGAGATCCTGAATCATGTATTTGGAAGGTGGACTTTGTATTTCAAAAGTCAGAACTGCTAAAGAAAGGTAGGCTCTACTTAAGAGTCAAGTGTCCCTGGAAATGCACAACACACAATGTATATTCCTGCCACAGTAAACACTCCCTAAAACCACCCCCGGCCACACACACATTCAGGATTTGTATCCGAATATTTAGGTCACACACATATTTAAGAATCAAAAGGACAGGGGCAGCTGGGTTAAGTGTCTGCCGTCGGGTCAGGTCATGATCCTGGGATCCTGGGATTGAACCCGGTGTTGGGCTCCCTGCTCAGCGGGGAGCCTGCTTCTCTCTCTCTCTCTCTGCCTGCCGCTCTGCCTACCTGTGCTCTCTCCCTCTCTCAAATGGTTAAGTAAATAAATAAATACAATCTTGAGAACAATAAATAAAAAAAAATTAATATTTTTGTAATTTATCTACTGAAACTTCTTAGGAGCAAAAAAACAGTGTCTTCATGATATTTTGCAATTTATCTACTGAAACTTTTTAGGAGCAAAAAAACAGTGTCTTCATGATATTCTGCACCAGCACAATGAATAAATATTTATTTCCATTTCCATTTGAAAGTAAAATGGATTCAGAGAAGACAAATTCTGAAAACTGCTTAACATACCCATATATACTTAAAGGATAAAATCCGCTTCATGTCTGCATTCTGATTTTTATGTTTCAGTTTGTGTGGTTAAAAGAAAGTTGCAAGTCATGCTGGCACACAAGGATGGTTACTAAACAGAATTTTGCGAAGTTGCAAATTTTTTTTTCACCTTGGTCTGTACCCAGAAAACATGATACCCCCATGGAAGATTCTAGATTTGCCGTCTTCTTTAACCCACTTTTGCCGTGACTTGGAATAGGAGCTTGGAAATAACTTGTCCACAGAGTGAACAGGTTCTTCAACTTTTCCCGGTTTACTGATGTCAGATTGTTAGCTGTATAAAACTCTGCCTTAAAGAAAATCACCGACAACGCAAACTCTTATCGCAAGTCCCAGCTACACCACACATCAGGGATATTCCCTTTGTCCTTAAAATACATATTCCCTCCGCAGGAAACACCCCTTGACTCTACATCCCCAAGTGAGAGGATTACTGGTGTTTCAAACATTTTTAGGAAGAAAAGCAACTCACTTATTCGCAGAGTACTTCCTTGCAAGTGACTCGGGTAGGGACAGTCACATAAATCTACATTCTGTTCAGCTCCTCATTATTTCAGCAAAGACGAGAGCGGGTTCAGGTGAACGTGGAGAGCAAAACGCCTTCCATCCACCCGGGAGGGGAGGGCAGAATTCTGGTCTCCAGTTTCGGGAGCCTCATCCCCTGCCGCCCCCGAGCCGTATGCCACTTACTGTTTCCAGCAGGAGTGACCTCCGGCAGCTCCTGTCTGGTGCGGCAACACACTCTGAATGGTTTGACGGCACACGTCACGTGTGAAGCCAACACCTTAAGAGGGTGGGAAGCTTTTCAACCAGGAAGACACGCTGAAAATATTCACCAGTCAGCTCAATCGCATGTAAGCAAAGCCTTGCTTGTTTTTCACAAAACAACCCAACAGCCGGTGAGTCGAGATGAACTGATTTACACCGTTCTATGCTGGGAACTCTCTGGAACGACGCCTGTTCCAAAAAGCTTCCCTTCCTTTGCCTTAAGTTTAAATTCTGGGTTCCCCCCAGCAGAACAGCCGTCCTGAATCTGGTTAGTCATGGCAATATCTTTATCCCCTCGGTTTTAAAATGCAAGTTTTCTCGACTCTCGTGCTCGTCTTACTTTCATTTCATCTTTCTACCCCATCTCTCCCTGTGACCACAGACACACATATTCCCAAGGAAAAAGTAGTTCTGATTTAAAGATCTCTTCCTAATCTATGGACCATAATCATCACTGCTGATAGACTATCTGATCTGAAAAGGCAGTTTTCTTTTTTTTTTTTTTTCCCAGAACAAGCATCAGAACAATTTCTGAGGCAGACTGTTTAAATAATTTTGACAGCCAATCTAATAACGGCTTTAAGAAAAATAAAATAAAATAAAATAGAGATATCTTCCTGACCAGGGCATAGACCAGGCTCTTGAAACAGTGGAGAAAATCAATGAGCATTTCCCAACACTTAACCCTTCATTCATCGAGTGTACGACCTGGGATCTGTGCAGTTGGTTAGAAGCTGGCTTTCAAAAGAGTCAGGTTTCATGGTTTCAAAAGGACTTTGTCCCTCTGCGAGCTCAGTCCTGTTTCAATTGTGACTATCTGCATTTAAACCCTGAGAACAAACATTAAACACTCTGAACACAAAACAGGCTACCGGCCTCTGACGTCAGAGCTGCCACAAGACCCGAGTTTAACTCACCCTTTCTGTCCCAGAGACTGAAGCTTTAAAGTCTCCTTTCTGGATTTTCTGAACGAGAACAGGGACGCAAATGACGATCGGAAACTCAGCCGAGAAGAAACGGATGTTGGGTTTCTTTGATGAGCTGTATTTTTAGATCTTGATGTTTGTAATTTCATGGAATCTAGAGAAATTGTAGAAATCTGGCATCACCCAGTGTTTCCAGGTAAATACATCTCGGAGAACTAAGACTTCGTTCTTGCTTCCCACCACTTAATGCAGAAGGAGAATGCAGCAGGCACCCCCACATGAAGACCCTAGGATGTCAGGAGAGCCCCCTGCCTCTGATGGCTCTGCCGAGTAGAGAAAATCCTTACAAAGAGTAGGGAGTCTTATAATATGCACTGTGAACCGCAGTTCTGTGGAACGTCCCTCCCCACACACCAGATGCCCAAATCCATCCAAAGCCTAACGTAAGGTGTCAGGGCCCTCGTTCAGCTTTCGGGGTGCTTCTAGCTACCCTGTCCTCCCTGTCCTGCAGACATTTTTATCTTAGTGCTTTAAAGCCACAGTGATAGACACTACGCAGCTTTTTACTCCAAAGAAAGTAAAGAAAAGGGAAATTAAGCCACTTAGAGTGTTCCTTATTCCCATCAGAAATCTACCTCTGTGTATTTGCTACACATGTGGTTTAAATGTGTGTCTGCTTATAACAGAAACATGTCTAATATATGTATAGATAACACATATATGTAAGCGTTAAAAATTCTAAGGCAACATCAACATATACAAAGTCTACAATACTGTAATATATTTAGACATGCTGGATTTATAAATATCAGAGGAATTCAAGGTAAGGGAAAGTCGCCATGGTCTATATAGGGTAAATTTCAAAGTCTGAGCTATGAGTCTTTTTAGACGGATTTGTTTATTATGGGAGTTGTAAAATATTGTCGGAATAACTTTAGAAATATTGTTACATGTTTCTTGATGTTACTAATGTTAGCAACACACCAGCAGAAGTAGTCAATATGACTATATCAGTAGGAAGATACTCTATACTGTTTTTGTACTTTATAATTGATGAAATTATATTGATGAATTGTGAAAGTGGGTTTTATTATCCTCATTTACAGATTTTTTTAAAGATTTTATTTATTTGATAGAGAGCATGAGAGGAAAGAGATCAATGGGAGAAGCAGAATCCCCACTGAGCAGGAAGCCCGATGTGGGACTCGATCCCAGGACTCCAGAATCATGACCTGAGCTGAAGGCAGTTGCCTAACAAACTGAGCCACCCAGGCGCCCCCTCATGTATAGATTTTTTAAAAAGTGATGGGGGAAGATGAGTGAGGTGAGTGTAGTCACATAGCTGGGGTGTTCAAAGAAGCATTTACCTACAGATTTTAAGTTACCGAAGTATCAGATGGGTGGGGGGGTTTTCCACTACTTCTTCCCATAATCCCCTCTCCCCCCCCCATTTCCCCTTTCTTTTGCACCATTATCCCATTCATTTAAGTGTCTGCTGTGTTCCAGCTCGGTGCCTTATCCATATAAAACCACCCTATGAGCTGTATTGTCATACCCATTTAAAGATGAGAAAACTGAAGCTTACAGAGAATAAGTAACTTGAACCGTATATGGATTATGATTTAAAAACAGTCCTAAATATGGATTGGTTCCATTGGAAACCCACTGAGTCATTACCTAGAACGCTGTACTGTAAGAGAGAAAAAAAAAATCTAGATTTAAATTTTTTTCTCACCATTTTCTGCCATCCCCTTCCTGAGTCTGTACGTAAGTGGCTGTTTTAACATTTGGCTAACATCTGTTTCATTGCAGAACTTTTTTCTTTGAATTTCCTCAAACCATTCGCCAGTCACTCCTTGAAGCCATCTGATATCCCTCTTTGTCTTCTGGAGTTTGCTAAAATAGAACAAAAATGTCAAAGCATCCTTTAAATTTCTTGATATCAAGTGCACATTCATGGGACAGGAGGCTAAACTTGACCTCGTGGGAGAGCTGAATAAACTCTAAGTCTTGCGGGGGATCTGGCTCTAGTCAGAATTCCCTTTCACCACCATGTATTTTATTTTAGCTGTTTTTCCAAATACGATGACAATCTAAAAGTTTTTGCCAGTTGTTAAAATAACCAGGCTGGTGATGACAACCTAGGTTGAGCATTATGCGAACCCAACCTAAGAATACAGTTGAATGATTGATGATTTAATGACATGGAGAAACCAGTATATTCTAGTTCTGATTACTCATTCATTCATTCATTCATTCATTGTTTCTTGAGCAATGTCCATGTCCCCACTCCCAGTGTGGACCGTGGGGATTCAACATTGAACATAATAGATGGGGCCCTTGCTTGCCCATACAGTGGTCAAAGATAAGTGTTTGCATGCAAAGAAGAAATGGTTGCATATAATGATTTTAGATAAAGAAATTCTTTAAACACAAAAACAAATTCTTTAAGCACACAAAAAAGCCCAAGAATGAGCACCCAGCTAATGTTTACAAGTCAAGGCCAGTGTGACTCGAGATGGATAGGAAAGGCCATCCAGGGCACAAACGTGTCTGCCCCACACCTTCCGAACACCCAGCCTGACATCTTCTCTTTCCTTCTGTATCCTTTTCCCCTGCCCTTTCATCATACTTTATCCTCTTTCAAATGAAAAGGTTGCTGATGGGGCACCTGCGTGGCTCAGCGGGTTAAGTCTCTGCCTTCGGCTCAGGTCATGGTCTCAGGGTCCTGGGATTGAGTCCCGCATCGGGCTCTCTGCTTGGCGGGGGGGCCTGCTTCCCCCGCTCTCTCTGCCTGCCTCTCTGCCTACTTGTGATCTCTCTCCGTGTGTCAAATAAATAAATAAAATCTTAAAAAGAAAGAAAAGGTTGCTGAGTCCTTCATTAAATCACTGGTTATGATTTAATCACTGGTCCTTTTAAGGCAGAGCATTTTGCTCTATTTCGGAAATCTCTAGAACTGTTCGGAAATGAGAGGCGCTTAATCCAGAGAGAGAGAGAGGAAGAGCGAGCGCTGGACGAGGCAAACTTTCTAGGCGAGTCTGTGAAGTAATGATGTAAATCTCTTCAAGTGGTCAGGTTGGCACAGCGCTGGGCTTGTTCATGGGGTCCAAGCTTGGGAGGTTCTGCTGTCTGGGGAAGAATTTCATGTGATTCTGCAGCATTTATCCTTTATCCAGGGTCCTCTGGGAAGCACCAGTGTTGGGGAGTGTGTAGGACTACGAAGATGGTGAGCAGGACAGCTGCAGAGTGGCAAATTTGGGGTTAAAGGTAATGAACCAAGATGGTTGCAACTCAGGCTCCTGCTTGGGGCTATGATACTGTCATTTTACAAAATAATCACGAAGGAAGCCAGAGGCCATCCTGCCCAGACTTGCATTTTGAACTGCATTAGGCAGCAATTGTCAGGTCCAGCCCACAACATCTGCCTGGGCGCCTCCATGTGTCACTGCTGTCCCTCAGACACCCCGCCACTCCTGTCTCTACTGCCACTTCCCTGACTAACAAACCAAGGGACCACATGTAACTGTTTTTTCTTTCTTTCTTTTTTTTTTTTTTTTAAGATTTTATTTATTTATTTGACAGAGAGAGAGAGATCACAGGTAGGCAGAGAGGCAGGCAGGGGCTGGGGAAGCAGGATCCCCGCTGAGCAGAGAGCCCGATGCGGGGCTCGATCCCAGGACCCTGAGATCATGACCTGAGCTGAAGGCAGAGGCTTAACCCACTGAGCCACCCAGGCGCCCCCAACTAACTGTTTCTAATCAGTACAGTTGACAACTTGTCAACACCTCATTTATTAATGTCCCATATTTGTTCCCCATTCTATGTTCTCAAAGTCCCCCACAATCCCACAATTGTTCAAGACTGACACTCAGCACCGCCCCCCCACTACCACTTGTCAACGTATCCACCTCATCTCAGAGCACAGTCAAGCCCCCTATCTTAGGAATTCTCCAAACAACATAAATGTATTTATTCAGTTTTACTAGAGGCTCAATGAAACATTGACTCGGCTTGAAAACCATCACACTTCACGCCATTTGACCTCAAGTGCTCATTCCAGGCTTGGGCTCACATCCCTCCGTCACAGCCTGTTTCTTCCTCCACTTCTAGCCAATGAAGTCCGAGATCCATGGCCCTACGGGAATACTCCTGCAGTCTGAATTCTACTTCAGGAAGTATATCTTGGTGAAACAGCCCTCCTACCTGGACACTAATTAGTTTCTAAAAATAATATGCAGGCAATGCAGCCTCCTGGGAATGTCCCATAGCACGAAGCAGGAGAAACAAAATGCAGATTTTATCTATCCGAAGCTATGTACAATGCTGCACACATTGGGGGAAAAATCAGGACACCTGATCTCTTAAGGAAGAATAATTATAGGTATCATTTCTATTTCTAGCCTTTTAATTATGTTGATTCAGTATATATAATATATGATCCTATTTTTTCTTTTTGTTTGTGAATTTTTGTATTGTTAGTGTTTTCTTCCCATTACAATTTTTCTTATAGATAGAGGAAAAAAATCAGTGATGTTTTCACAGTCCTAACACAATCCCTGTTAATGATTTGGTGGTGATTTTTCACATGGTCGTGATAAAACTTATTCACTATACAATTGTAGAAGGCCTCCTAGGGGTCATGCAGGGAAACAACGATGAACAGAGGAGACGAGGCTCCCATCCTGTGGGACTTGTAAGTGGGACAGATCCAGGCCCCATCACAATATAGATGTAAAGTAACCAAGAGTGGCGAGTATGATTAATTCACTCAACACATGTCTGAACTCTGGGTATAGAGCAGGGAACAAGTCAAGTCCTTGCCCTCAGAGAATTTACACCCTGTGGGGACAAACAAAGTAAACAGGTGGTAGGACAGCACCTGGGGCAGCAGCAAAGATTTTCTTGAGAAGTTGACACGTGGCCTGAAGGTTGAAAGATGGAGGGGTAGCAGGTGGGTGGCTCTGGGATAGAGAGAGCGCGCTTTCCAGACAGAAGAGGACCATCCATAGAGCGGCCAAGGAAAGAAGCAAGGAGTTGAAACGAGGCCGGCCTGGCCCGACTAACCTCGGGGAGAGCCGAGAGGGAGGCAGCTGCTAGATCACGTCACAAGCATTTGAGGGGAGCAGTCTGGCACTGAGTCCTGCAACACTGAGAATACCTTGTTGACTTGGCGGTGACCTGCCACATCGAGTTTGCATTTTCAAAAGATCATCCTAGACTAAAACCCTTCTGCACAGCAAAGGAAATCATCAGCAACATGAAAAGGCAACCTACTGAAGGGGAGAGAGTGTTTGCAAATCATCTATCTGATACAGGGTTAATTACCAAAACAGAGAAAGAACTCCTACAGTTCAGTAGCCAAAAGAGCAAACGATCTGATTAAAAAAATGGACAGAGGAGCTGAACAGACATTTTTCCAAAGAAGAATACAGATATGGCCAGCAGGCACATGAAAAGATGCTCAACATTACTAATCATACGGGAAATGCAAATCAAAACCACAATGAGCTATCCCCTCGCACCAGGCAGATTGGCTGCTACCAAAGAGACAAGCACTAACAAGTGTTGGCGGGGATGCGGAGGAAAGGGAGCCCTTGTGCACCCATGGCGGGAATGCAAGCTGCTGCAGCCCAGCTTGTCTAGAACACAGTATGGAGGTGCCTCGAAAAGTTAAAAGTAGAAACACTACATGATGAAGTAATTCCACTCCTGGGTATTTACCCAAACAAAATGAAAACACTAACTCAAAAAGTATATGCACCTCAGGAATGGTAATTGTGTGGAAAAACAAAATACAATATCAAATCCAATTTTAATTCCATATAAATAAAATACAATATTAAATATGTATAATGTGGGGTGCCTGGGTGGCTCAGTGTGTTAAGCCTCTACCTTCAGCTCAGGTCATGATCACAGGGTCCTGGGATCAAGCCCCACATTGGGCTCCCTGCTCAGCGGAGAGCCTGCTTCTCCCTCTCCCTCTGCCTGCTGCTCTGCCTGCTTGTGGTCTCTCTCCATCTCTCTAATAAATAAATAAAATCTTTAAAAAGTTTAAATATGTATAATGTACATGCACAGTACAATACTAATCCAATCATACACACATATACACACATAATGGAATACCATTCACTCATAAAAAGAATGGAATCTAGCCATTTGCAACAAACTGAATAGAACCTGAGGGCCTTCTCCTCAGTGAAATAAGTCAGAGAAAAACAGATACTGTCAGATCTCACTTATATGTGGAATTTAAACAACAACAAATCAAGCTCCTAGGCACAGAGAATAAACCAATGGTTGCCAGAAATGGGAGATGGAAGGTGGGAGAAATGCGTGAAGAGGGTCAAAAAGTTCAAACCTCTAGTTATAAAATTAGAAAGTCCTGGCACGTAATGTACACATCGTGACTATAGTTAATAATACCGCAACGCAGGGGCGCCTGGGTGACTCAGTGGGTTAAGCCTCTGCCTTCGGCTCAGGTCATGATCTCAGGGTCCTGGGATCGAGCCCCACATCAGGCTCTCTGCTCAGCAGGGAACCTGCTTCCCTTCCTCTCTGCCTGCCTCTCTGCCTACTTGTGATCTCTCTCTCTCAAATAAATAAATAAAAATATTTTTAAAAATAATAATACCACAACGCAGATTTGAAAGTTGCTAAGAGAGTAGATCTTAAAACTTCTCATCATGAGAAAAAACATTTGTAGCTATGCATGGTGACAGATGGTAACTAGACTTACTACGGTGATCAGTTTGCAGTATATACAAATATTGAATCATTATGTGCACACCTGAAGCAAATACAATGCTATATATCAAGTATGCCTCAACAATCAAAAAGATCTTAGGCTACAGGTAGAGACAAGATTCCAAGAGGAGTAGAGTCAGGAGACT